AAAGCAACATAATTAACAGGAAACAAAAATATTATCTTAAAGATTTTAAAATAAAGCATTGCAAAGGAGGTCAAGAATGCACCACAGAATGCACACTTAAAGCAGCAAAGTCAACAACAACAAAGTTATCGTAAGCATTTCAAATGACAACATTACTAAAGGAAGCCAAATATAAAATGCACATTTAAAACAATGTATGTAGTCTACAGCCACATGTCTACTGTAAGGATGACCATGGACATAGTCGGGGGGGGGCAGCTGCCCCCCTAAATCAAGTAAATAAAAAATACTTAACTAAAATAGAAATTGTAGAAAGATTTTGACATATTTTTCTGAGCATTTGGAGTCAAAAGAAATTAATTTAAAACAACTGTTGTTGAGACATTTACCGGTAATTCTTAATCTGCTAGACAGAGCCAGACAGAGGATGATGACAGGTGGGTGTCCTGCCCCCCCCCCAACATAAATCCTGGCTACGCCCATGAGGACAACTACCATAACCAAGGGAAGCCATACTTACTTCCGCCTATCCAAGTGTTGAAGCATATATTTACTTTCTGATGGAAGCCCTTAATGTGCTTGATGCAATTAATCAATTTAAGGGCAGGGACAGCTCAGTTAGTAGACTTTATTTTTTTAAAAAAACAAAATCACCAAATGGCAGAGCATTGCTCTGGAGAGAAGAGTAACCTTGGGTGATTGTTGTTTTTTACCAGTATCTTTTTTATTTTTAAGGTGCTGTATGTGCATTCATTCACTTGGGTATAACCATAGAGGCAAACTCAGCCTCTAAAGAATTGTTTGTGTATAAATTCAAGGTTATATATATATATATATATATGATCACTAAATGCCATGAGCATGCCAAGAATTGAATGGTTTGCTACAATTATCTTGAACTTGATATTCATATGATTGTGGCATGCTTATCTATCCAATAATATTTTTCATATTATTTCATCATCCTGGAGATCACTGGATTATCTTTTTTCCTTTTCATTATTTATCTTTATCCATTAGTTCCTCTTACTTAGTCTTTCAGTACTACCAATAATATCTATGCTAATGATACCCAGTTGTTTCTACCTCCCCCCCCCCTTCCTTTGCTGATCTCTCACCTGTTTTGCATTTATCTCAATCTCCATGCTGCTGGCTCACAGCTCACTGGCTTAGAGACTGACCCCAGCCTTCCTAACTGGGTGCCCTCCACCTGTTTCTTCTGCAATTCTCATCAGCCCCACTCTGCACAGCCAATAGGTCATGCTGGCTGGAGCTGATGAGTGTAGTCCTAATCAGGTGGAGAGGGCCAGGTTTGGAAAGGCTTTCATAGAAGACAGATCCTTTCAGATTCTTACAAAGTAGGCTGGGCAGAGGAAGGAGACAATATAAGCACAGAACGGGGACATCTCACCCTGCCTGATTGTAGGATTGACTCTCAGGCACATCTAAAAGCACTTTTTTGTTTGCTTATTGAGGAAAATGGCAAATCAAAAGAACCAGAATTACAGAAATTCTTCCAGGCATATTAAGAAATATCCCCCTCATTCCTTGACTGTTGTACTAGCCTGAGCCACCAGATGGTGCAGCAGTACAGTGGCAATAAAGTTTGTTTCTGTCTCCACTAATGAACAAACAATGCGTACACACCATTTTTATTCATTTTTAATGCAACTTGTGCTGTTGGATTTGTTTTTTGTGATGCAGAATCTCCAGTGCCAACTGTGAGCAGAATTTGCTTCTACGAAGAAAACTCTGGGAGCTGAGTTGCTTCCTGGAAACTGTATCCTGACATCATTTGCTCAGAGCTCTCTGCAAAGGCGGGACTCGCCCGTATGCTGGTGTTCGCTGATATCTCAGGGAAGATGCACAAGGTCGAAATAAATATGCACAGAGCAGGAGGGAGTAGTCAGGCTTAATGAATGGTTTGCCCAATAAATACTTGCAAGCTTTTATCAAAATATGCTTCTTCAAGATCACCTTCATCTGCGGCTCACATCCCATTTTTCAGCTTCATTTGCTTTCGTTCTATTTTGTTGTCGCCCTTATAATCTACTCTGTGCTCCCCTCCCCCCTTGGGAAGCCTGTCTGTTTCTATGGCAACACCAATATCATGAAGATGGTTTTAGAGTTTAGTGACAGCCGCACAAGACATCAGACAATTAAGGATCTCTAGTAGGGTTTGGCATTGCTGACACCTAGAACACTGCCTTTAAAGCTGTGCACAATATATTTAGAGCAGTGCAGTGCCTTAACTAGCGTGGTGCCTTTCTGCATCTCTGTAAATGAGTGAGGGACAAAACAGATAGATTTAACATTTGCTTCCTTAAACGTTTCATCACTCAGTTCCTTCTCTCCCCTCACCATTGCATACGCATACTCCAGGCCAACTCCATCCCTGCAATGACCCACATTCATCCTGACAGCTGCTCATAATCTTGACAGTGCCAGCTGAGCCCCGGCAATCTCATCTTTCTGTTTTCAGGAGGATGGAGTGAATGAATGACACGCCATACATTTAAAGCACACAAGTTCCCCCCAAAGAGCCCTGGGAACAGTAGTTTGCTAAAGATGTAGTTCTGTCCAGGGTAAACTACAGTTTGCAGAATTCTTTGTGCTTGAAATGTATGGCCTGCATGCAACTTCAGTATGGGAATCTGTCATGCGCATCTGTTTGAAGCTGGGGGAGGGGTTGAGGAATGCAGTCTTTTGCCCTGTCTCTTGCAAGTTACTTCTGGGTAGATGTATCTAGGATTGCCCTTACTGAGTGGTGTTGAGCAGAGTAGATCCATTCATAGCTGTCAACTTTCCCCTTTTTTAAAGGAAATCCTATTTGGAATAAGGGAATTTCCCTTTAAAAAAGGGAAACGTTGACAGTTAATAAATAGGCACTTAATAAATAGGTCCATTCATTTCAGTGGGTCTGCTCTGTATAAAATGTAGCTGAATACCCTAAATCAACAAAAGAGCTATCATTTTACTGAAAACTTAGGGCTTCTTCCTCCCTCATTTAACCAAGGTGCCTCCAGGCATGTGCTTAACTTGCAGTATTGGTAATAATCCAATCTTGCCTGAAGGCAGAGAGGACATGGTTGAACTGACTGTAGTTAGATTTTTGCTTTGGGACATAGTGGACACAACATAAAGAATAAAAGATGGAGAGACAGAAAGGGAAGGAAAGTACAGGTATGGAAAAAAGGAGACTGAATATATAAAGAAAGTAAAGGCCCGTACGGCACGTGTCGATGGTGCGCTATTCAAGAGGCCGTGACCGTGCGCCGTCGAAAACACTCAGGTAGTGCACGTGACAAAGCGCCTGGCAGCCTGCACCGGAGCAGAAACGCGTTTACCTTCCGCTATAAAGTACTATTATCACTTCAAGTCTTCGAAGAGAGAGCTGGACCGAATGACGGAGCTCACCCCCGCGATCGAACGCCGACCTTAGATCACAGTCTGCACGTGGGGATTACCACAGCACACCCGCGTCCGATATATAGATGTGTCAGGGAATGCAACTTCTGATGTTTCAGGACAACTTTCTCCCACCAACTGCATCTAAAGTAACTTAACAAACAGTATGTATAACAACCAGCTGTTTTATATATATTAACTATCTGTGTAATGCTAGAAGTATCCTCCAGCTGTACCATTTTTAAAATAGGATACTAGTTCTCTTGCGTTGGCCCTAATAACTTTCCATTCATAAGGATGAACTGAAATTCTGAAAAAGTTTACAATACTGGATTAGGTAAATGGTAAAGGTAAAGGACCCCTGGACTGTTGTCCAGTAAAACGTGACTATGGGGTTGCGGCGCTCATTTCTCAGGCCAAGGGAGCTGGCCTTTTTCCACAGACAGCTTTCCGGGTCATGTGGCCAGCATGACTAAATCACTTCTGGCGCAACAAGACACCATGACGAGTGCCAGAGTGCAGAGAAACACCATTTACCTTCCCACCGTAGCTGTATCTATTTATCTGCTTGCACTGGCATGCTTTCGAACTGCTAGGTTTGCAGAAGCTGGAACAGAGCAACAGGAGCTCACCCCGTTGTATGGATTTGAACCACCGACCTTCGCATCAGCAAGCCCAAGGGGCTCAGTGATTTAGATCACAGCCCCACCCGCTCCCCTAAAATACTGGGTTAGCATTGAATAATGTTGCAAGAAAAGCCAGATTTGTTAACCATTGAAAAAAAATGTTTAAGATGACAGAGAGACGGACATGATGCTGTTAAAAGTTCATCACTGAAGTGTCCTACTCCCAAAGAAGAGCCAGTTTATTCATAGAACTCTTTCATTAGTCACATTCTAAGTAGATGAGTTACTCTTCTACTTAGAACTTCTCTGTATGATATATTCTTGTGTAACATCTGTGGCTGGGACTCTGCATGTCCTAAGTCCTCAAAAGTGCCATGTTTTGCACTTAGGAAAATGTGATATTTCCCCCATAAGATTTTGTAGCCATAAGATTTTGTTTGATTCAACTAAGACACAAACGCCATCAGATGTTGAGTCCTTTGCTACTGTGATGGTTTTATGGAATGTGACTACATGCATGCCAGGGGTACCATTTGCACCATTGCACCATTTTTCTACTACAGTAACAGAACAGGCCCACGGTATTTTGTGAGCTTCCTTGTTAAGGTATTCCTTTGGTGGCTTTGAATTCACTAATTGTGTGACCCCAATGCAGGGGTACTTAGCCAGCAATAAATGGAGAAGAACAGCAGCAAGGCTATCCGTAACCCACAGTGTGTGTGTGTGTGTGTGTGTGTGTGTGTGTGTGTGTGTGTGTAAAACACCACTAATTTAATTTTGCTTTTCTGAAGCAACATTTGGAATCAATGTTCAGCAAGGTCTTTCCTGTTGCCGAGCTATTCTTCCTCCTCAGCCATTACATGCAGTCATTATACTGTCATTGGATCAGGAAGTATGAGAATATTGTGCAAAGGATGGTGTATGTAGACGTGCCTTGTTTGGTTGCGCAGACCATTGAAAACAGAACTCCACGACTATACCTTTTATATTCTGATCACCTGTTCCTAATTCCCAGCTCATGCCCTCCTCTCCCTTTGTGTTCTTCCCTGTTAGAATTCCGTGCATGCTAGAATCCTGTGAAAAGCTTCTCTCAATGCTACCAACTCATTCTGTCACTTTAAGAGGCGGGGAGGAAGGCTGTTGCTGCGGAAACCAGTGAATACATTGCAACCTCACTGTGGAAGGACAGGGGAAAAACGCAGTGAGTCTACAGTGGGAGGCTTCAGGTCTAACATGAAGCTGACTTCCACTCATTTCTCTAAATTTATCCCCATCCTGGGAAGCTGCATGGGTGGGGAGGAAATAACTGGGATGGATGCAACTGGGGTTAGCATTTGAGGCATTCATTGATGAGGGTGGAGGGGCTTTGTTGCTACATCAGGATGCTGTACAGAAGGACGGAGGACAAGTGAGTGGAAGGAAATAGGGGGTCTTTGCAGCCAATATTCTCCCAAATTTATACAAATGCTTTATTGATTAATTGATTGCCGGGCTGGTAGCCATCCAATAAAATAAAAGGAGGCAGCTTCAATGGGAAAAAGACAGAGAAAGCACATACCTTATCTCAATTTAAGTGCCATTTATTTATTTTTAAATTTTAAATTTTGTCTACCACTTAATCATCAAAACCTGTACTGTAGATGGTTTGCATAAAACATAAGATAGACATTAAAATCCTCAGAATTTAAAAATGAGTTGATCCATTAAAAAGTATTTATAAAATCACCGGTTAAAAATATATGCTATGAAGTATAAAAGGGAATTACCAATTAAAATGCTGACCCTACCTATCTGGCTTAGGCTTGCCTAAGCAAAAACATTTCAGAAGGCGCTACAAACAATACAGCAAAGGTGTCTGCCAAATACCAGTGTGCAGGGAGTTGCAGCATAGGGACTGCCCCATTGCAAGACCGATTCCTTACTTGTGCAGAACAGGCTTCCCCTAAAGAATCCTGAAAATTGTAGCTTGGTGAGAATTCTCTGTTACAGACCCTTTGAAGGACTACCTTTCTCAGAGTTCCATGGGAAGAGGGAAAATGGCCCTCATCCTTCCTACTATTCTCTGGGAAGAGCCTGCAAAAAGCTGGACCATAGAGATCTATCTTAGCACCCACCAAGGAGATGGCACGAAGCACAGCACAATAAGAGCCATCGCTTTGCCTGGATATCTGACTTTTAGACATGCAGGGCCCATTAGCTGGTCCTGATTCCTAGTTTTCATTTTCAAAAAGTTTGTAGTGTTTATAGCCTGGGAGGTTGGTGGGAATAATGGGAAATGTGCATTGCCTCCGAGGGAATATGGCAATCCTGTTAAGGCGGTCCATGAGGAGGTGCTTTGGTCTGGATGCCCATGCAAGGGGCTAGGGCCATAGTACTCCTTGTGGAGTAGCACCTATTTGATGCAAGCCATAGGGTCTCCTCAACATTGGTTCGACCCCTTGGTTGATAATCCAGCAGACAGGTTGGTTGAGGTCGGTTACAACCCAATGCCTTCACCAAACTCCTTACAGCTGTAATCAATAACATTGTGGCCTAAATTCAAACCATACAGTGTCGTCACGAATGGTCTTTTGGTCAGCGATGCCCTGTGGGGTGGTGGGCTCACAGCACCTGAATGCGCAAATGGCAGATCCCCATGTCTTGGACACATTAGCTCGGTTCTTTCTGGTGTTGGTTTCATGCTGAATTCTTCACTGTAACTCCCCCTTGTATATATCGTCAAAATAAATTCAAACAGTATGGCAGGCTGGGACTATTCCCCTTATCTCACACTGTATGTGGCTAGAGCTACATTAGGGGTGCTAATGTATTGCAGGCAGGGTTTGCATCCAGTCTGCTTTCATCATCCATATCCTCCCCCCACCCTTCTTCTTCCAGATTTCCTCACAGCAGATCTCTGGGAAGTGTTCTCTTCTACACCCACCTGTTCCAAGGCTTTAAGTCCTCATCTCTCCACAATGCAAAAGAAGACCTCAGACGAGGTGGCGAAGGAGGTGCCAATACCAAAAGTCCCAGCTGCCAACAAAGGGGCAGTGGAATTCCTTTCGCTCATTGGTGGGTGCCCCTTTTGAGGAGGGAGGAGGCTCTCCTACCCTGTTCTCCCCCATGTAAGGGAGGAGTGCTGACAGCCAGGAGCTTTTTAACTTTTTAACCTTTGAAGATGTAGGAGTCTTAGGGCCAAAGCAGACTGACACTAAAAGCACCACTGGGAAAACCTTTTTTCTTTTTCTTCATAGCAGGCACTGAGGGGCGGGGGTATTGGTATTGCAGCAGACATAGGAGGGGGTGGGTTTAAACCTCTCCTCATCCTGCCACCCAGCTGCAGTTCCAATGAATTTTCCCACTCCACTGCACACTGGGGGCAATATCAGGATGGCATTTTCATTGGGATTTCAACAGGGGGGGAGTAAAAGATCTGCTACCTGCATGCTGCAGTCCCAATGAAAATGGGGGGGGGGTCCCCTGCACATGCTATTATTAAAAAAAACAAAATGGAATAGGAATATTCCCAATGTTTAGTGTTGTGTCTAGTTTCCTCAGTTCCAAACCATTAAGGAACACTATTGGTCAGTGTGGGCATGATTGTATCAGCAGGTTTGATGCTAATTCCTAAGGCAAAACCAAGTTTCCTATCTTCAACAGCCAATTTTGTGAGCCACCTTTTAGACCTGGTACAAGGCTTTGCCAGATTGACTTGCAAGATGGTATGTCCCAGGGCTGGGATGGGGAAACTTCAGGGCATGGAGCCAAATGCAGGCTTCTCTGTCTGACCCTCAGGACTTTTCCCAGAGCCCTTTCCCCCCTCTCCAGGCCACATGCCTCACCAGCCCTGAACTGCACCCTCCTTGAGAGATTTTCCCTCACTGGAATGTGTCCTCAGCCTCAGACAATATGGGAATGTTCAGGGTGGCAGGAGAGGATCTATTGTTTATTAACCTGGAATGCAGCCCATTTTCCCCACCCCTTTCCCTGGCTGACCATCCTTTCAAATGCTGTAATGAATCATGGACAAAACACCAGGCAAATCACAGGCAAGCAACTGGCAGACCTTGGGAAGAAGTCAGGGAGAAAGGAGGTCAATATGACCCAGATGACTCCAAACTTCAGCTTTTCAGTTAAACACTTCCATATAGAACCTGGTTTGATATTAGGTCTCTGTTCATGAGTTTTAGGGTTGGATCTACCCTTGTCGCCAAAATACTCTGCATCCACCACCAACAACTAGTTTCTGTTCTCGGGGAATATTTTCCCATTCTGTGTGGAAACAGGTTTTTCTCTCTGTTTCCCCCAAATGATAATGTTCTACTCTCTCATCTCGCAGAACTGAAAGAGATAAAGTACTGCATTTTTGGGGAATCACTGGTTGCCATCTCGGAAAGCGGAGAGACTACAGGGACATTCACCATCTCAGTGGAGGAGACCAGCTATTCACCAGATGACTGGGACGAAGAAGACCTGTACCTGGTCCGTGCCAGCAGCAAGGGGACCATTGATGGCATCCCTTGCACAACATCCATTACAGGTAACTTCACTGTGATAATTTGGCAAGAGGAGGGTGGTGTTATGGAGAAGGGAGAGAGTCGGCCTACTCCTGTGTCCAAATAACAGCCTTCAGGCCTCAGATTATACAACTGGCGATATGGGACCTTGAAACTATGGATGCAGAGATGGAGCTATAGCATGAGGAGAAGAGATTTAACCATAGAGTATTTGTAGCAAGTGAATATAGGCATTTTTTGGTTCCTAGTGCTACACTTCCTTAGTCTGATAACTGTTTTAGACCCAAGGAAAGAAAAAGTTGAGCAAGGTTCCAGCCACACAGTGTGGACATAGCACTTAATATTTTGCTGTATCCCCAATAAGCCCCTACAACTCCTGTTCCTATAAGCTAAGGTTGTCATACGTCCGGAATTTCCCGGACATAACCAGCGATTGGCTGTCGGAAGCAGTGTCATGGTGGAATCCGCTGAAGCGTCCAGGAAAATCTGGACATATGGCAACCCATGTCAGCAGTGTCGTTTTGTGTGATTTTCCTTAAAAATAGCTCCAAAACTTCATTTTTATTTATTCTTTTGAGATTTTGCCGAAAAAGCTAAACAACTTTTCTGTCCGGATTTTCACTTTTTGAAATATGGCAACCGTACTATAAGCAAGACTCTACTATGTTTAAAATTATTTCCACTTCATTTAATGGGACCCATGGGCTATGAAACTTGTTCAGATTTGCAGCCTTCAATCAGCAAAGACCTCCTAATTTTGTGATGTACTTATTTAGTACATTTCTTTCCCACCTTCCCTCAAAGGAGCTCAAGGTGGCATACATGGTCTTCCCTCTTCCCATTTTATCATCACAACAACCGTGTGAGGTACGTTAGGCTCAGAAACAGTGACTGGCCTGAGGTCACTCTGCATGCTTCACAGCTAAGTGGGGACCAGAACCCCAGTTTCCCAGGCACTCTAACCACTACACCACACTGCTGTTCCTTCTCCCAGCTATTCCCTTGTCGCTAACAATATGCGTTTAATTTTTATTTTATCTTCTTAATGCAGCTGGTATATGTTGACTAAAAGCCACGGAGTATTATTTGTGCATTCACACCCACTCCTCCAAGCAATCACGGGTTTTGGTAGGCTGCCTAAAACCCAGTGAAACGAATGAGATTTAAGTAGTTCATGCACAATACTAGTCATTCTGCTTTTCTTGTGTAAATATGTTTTGTTTGGATCTGAGAGTTAGTACAAGGCTGATGCTTAGAACCTTCTGCTCTCCTTGAAACACCTCAGTTGAGCTGCTTGTCTCCCTGGAAAAGCAACTAGGCAGAGAATGAAGAAAAGTGAGGCTTCACCATAAACAGACCACTCTTCCCTGAGATGCCTCAGTAGTGCTTTGCCATTTCATGGCATTGGACAGAGTGGTGTTGCTATTGCATCTTAAGCAAACAAAGAAATGGCACAAATTAGGTTGGGCTGAAAGCACAGAAAACACCAGAATGCAACATTTTGGAAGAGAAATCATCTGCATCCTGCATAAAAACAGAGTGAACAAATGATATCCATTCCAGAGAAAACAGCTAGTGTGGAATCAACCCAGTCACAGTAAGTTTGGCAGCCGTCACAGTGGTTTCTAGCAGCTATCAGACACAACTTGAGGAAAATTCCGAGAAAGGTAGGCAGCTTCAGGAACTTTTGGTAAAAACTGGAGTATTTCCAAGGGTAATAAAGAGGCGACCTGGGCTTACAGGGAGTGTTTAGGTGGCATAACCTTTAACGTTTGTTTTTTAAACCTTTATGTATTTCTTTATCAGGATATGTAACAAAGAAACTGGAAACTGTGGAGCAGCACACAAAGGAAAGTGTGAGGGTAAATATCTTGTTTGTGTCCCCTTCACCATGGCTACCTGGATGCAAGATAACATGTAAACACCTGAAATGAATAAATAAATAAATAAATAAATAAATAAGGAAATTCTCCAGTAGCACCTTAGAGACCAACTAAGTTTGTTCTAAACATCTGTATTCCTGACAAGATTTATCCTCTTCATATTGAAGCATGGGGGTAGGGGAAATCTTTTCAGTCCCGCCCCCCCTTTTGCAGGTTTCCTTCATGATCTCCATTTTCTGCTCTCCTGGGTAAACTTACTAGGATAGTTAGCCTTAGGTTAAGGTTACCCGACATCCCCATTTCCCAGGGACAGACCCCGGATTTACAAATCTGTTCCCTGACAAAATCCGTCTATTTAGTAGTTAGTTGAAAAGTGTCCCCGGCTTCATTGAAAAAAATCTGGTAACCTTACCTTAGGTCGCTTTGAAATCAGTGGAATATCCAGCCCATTCAAAAACAGGCTGTTGGAAATGCAGTTGTCAGCCCACCTTCCCCCTGTGGGGACTGGGATTTAAAGCAACACTTTAAATCAGAATAAGCCTTCATCCTGATTTGCTTTTGGGAACTGGTCTTGCAGGCCAAACTGGGACCCATAATTAGGCCTTGGGCCAGAGATTCCCCACCTCTGCACTAGAGGGACAAAGGGCTTAGACATAAGTACTCCTGAGTAAAAAAACAAAAAAAAAATTAAGTTCATCTGTCTGGCATGGATGTATCACCTTGTGGTACTTACTCTTTTCTACAGTTCAGAGAGCACCCAGTGGAAACCAGGACCCATGTGGTGAGACGCCAAGACCAGCTTTTTGTGAGCAAAACTGTGGTGGAAAGAGATGTGAGTAAATTCTGATCCTTCTTAAAGGATTTGGAAAGTCAAGCCCAATCCCTCCCTCTCTAGGTTAAGGGAAATAATCACACTAGTAATTCAAATCCATGTAACTTTCATGTCTGTTCACCTGTAAGTTCATTCCAGCGCGATATCCCTATTAAATCCACACAACCAAAATTTTATTTTACGTAATACTTATTTTTAAACATCCCCCTCCCTCAAAATACAAGTTTCTAACTGCATTTTCTCTCGAAATAATGTGTTTTAAAATGCATTTTGATTGTGGCTGTTGTTGAATGAGAACTACATGGGAACAATCAAGAAGTGAGTTCTGACTCACACATTACTTATTCATTTAGAATATTTATTTCCCACTTTATAAGCAGTTTACAAAAGATCCTGAAATAAAGATTACATTCAAATCTAGGTTCAGGAACAGAAATAACACAATGTCCCTGTGGTGCAGATTATTCACAGCACTGGAAGGTCTGAATCTGGTTAGTTCATACTTAGTTTCGCAAATACTGTATCCCTCAAGCATTCCTAGCTACTGTCCTTGAATGTTATCTATAATAACTTGTTCCACTGGTTGTCATCAGGGATTAACAGACTATGAGACTGTTACTTTCCACTATCTTGTAGTCTAACCACCTTGGAGTCCAGCCTTGTTGCAAGGCTTGTAAAGCAATTTGCACCCTGTTAAGTATTCTAAATAGACAAACAGCAATATGGCATACTATATTTATGTATTACCTTTATACCCCTTCTTTTTTCCATGATGGAATTCAAGGCAGGTGATCTCCAGACACCAAACAGACCCAGATCTCCTGAGCATGTGCCTTCAGATCATGTCCCGGAACAACATTTCTATTGCACATTTCCAAACCCTCCACCTTCATTATCTCAGTACTTACACCAGCCCACTAAGAAGAACAGCATTGTCCTCATGTTGCAGATATGAGCTGGTCTGAGGCCAAAGGAGTCATGCTTAGTACCAAATGCCACCTAGTGAATTTGCAGCTGAGATCTGATTTGAACTGAGGACTTCCCAACTCATAGTCTTCACCACTATGCTGCACAAGCCCTCATAACAGTCAGATGACAAAGGGCAGCAAGATCACGGTTTCCCATTCTTGTCCCACGAATGGCTAAGCCTGTCTTGAAGCACCAAGGAGTGGCATCTATAAGTCCCAAAACAATTTCCCCAGAATGACCTGTTGTTGTCTTGGATTTGGTGAAAATGTCTTTCCTCTATTCTCTCTCACAGGAAGAGATCCACGTTGACACATTTTCTTACAAACGTGGACAGCTTCATGGTCTAGTCTCAGAGTCTGCCAACTTCCTGGTGATGCGGGTGATGGCCAGGAGGCAAGCCGTACCACAGGATGCCATTTTCCTCGCATTTGGCATTGACCAGCACATCTGCCCCTGCACCTATGTGAGTGTGTCTTAGTGGGGCCCCCTGCAGGTGTTGGCAATGCATGAGGAAGTTTGTCTCAGGAAGGGCCGTAGACCAGTGTTACAGCACATATTGTGCTGACCTATCCAGCTACGTAGGCCCAGCCCTTGGTAGATTGGCAAAGATTTCCACGTGAAGATTTGACCAAAACATGTAGGCCAGCTGACTGTCTAAAGTCAACTATATGCTGGCAGGAGAGAACAAGGCTTTGCTGCCTCAGCAGCAGCACCGTTTTTACTCACCTTTCTCGTTCTTCAATTCCCTACCCAGAGTTCCCTGGGCATCCAGAAGCAGAAAGTGGGCAAAGAGGAGGCAGAGGTGTTTGTCATCGAGAGAGTTGTGCACTCCGTGGACGAGGTCCCCCTGTGCTGGCAGTTCTACTTCCTGTCAGATGGGTAAGGAGGCCCCAGTGCAATCGCTTGTGCCCTGCCCTTCCTTGCAGGCAACATGTCTCACTCCCTCTGACCTAGAATAGCTTCTGACAGTCTTATCAACAGCATTCTTACTGTAGGTTTCCTAGCACAGCCTGGTTTCCTTTGAATGCCAGGGCTTTAAAAAAAACTATTATTATTATTATTATTATTATTACAAATACGTTGAGTGAATGCAAGGTAACCTAGTTCTTTATTTCCACTCTCACAGTACACAGGTTGTGTGTACTAAATTCACCTTCTCTCCCTCCCTCCCTAAGAACCATAAATGAAACAACTCAGTTGCATTCCGTATGCAAAATGACATGCAAAATGTGGGGAGAAGAGGATACAGAAGATGTTTGCATCTTCAGTATCCACCAAGATACATTTGTCAGTTGATTAACTAAAAGAAACACAAAGGTAATGGCAGAACTTCCCGTTCCTAGGCCTGGCATGCCTCATGATGATCCATTCATAGCACATCATGAAGGCACCAGAGTCGCATGCAGCTACAGTCCTGCAGGGCTCCTGCCTATCTCTTACAGTTCCCAGGCAAATATGGGAGGGTCCAGCTGGCTAGTTTTCCTTTTTGCCTCCTCTACCCAGGCATTTATCTCGCCGTGTCCAGGTTGGATCCCCCGCCACCATGGTGATCCTGCAGATGCCCATTCTGATCGACACAGGTAAATGACAGGAGTCTGTGAAATTTCCCTCCCTCCACCCCGTCAGCGGTTGGGAATGGTCACCAGAGGCAATTGGGGCATTTGGTAGTTGAACCCCCTTCAGACATCCTTTTTTCATTGGACATTTGTGATGGTCTGCAATTGAGGTGGTCACATCAGCTTTCAATACCGTTAGTGCCTGCAAAAGTTTTGGGGTGGTCACGCTGCTTCATTTCCAAGTGGTGCATCTCCCATAACCTCCTGCTGAAGTTTCATACCTTTTTTATACTACAAATGTTCTAGTTAATTTTTGGTTTTGGTTCTGTTGTGCTATTGCCCCTTTGGAAAGCAAAAACATGATAACAATTCGGGAAGTATCCCAGAGCAAACTAAAGTAGACTAAATCCACCACTAACACACTATTATTGTGTCAAGAACGCGTTGCAGGATACACCCACAACAAAACACCAGTCTGGAGAGGCCCAGGATCTGTGCTGGCCTCCACTGGGGACAGCATCTGGGAGAAAATCAACTAACTTGGGCAAAATGGCATTCTCTTTCATTTGGGCATGGATTGAAATTTAATTGCACTGTTTATTTTTGTTTATTTTTAAGAGCCATGTATTTCTAGTATGCGATGGACATCAATTTCTAATTCCCATGTTCCTAACTCTCTGCTTCAATTTCCACCTCTTCCCAGATGAACCAGACCCTCGTCCAGTCTTCGAGAAAATCCCGCTGGATTGGGAAGAGGATGTGCAGCTGTATTCCCAGTTCTTAGACAGAAAGGTGGGTTGTGTGGCAACTAGAGTCTTGCCTACGCCCTTAAAATGTGCCAACTGTTGCCAAGGGTCAATTTGTGGGCCTCCAAATACATATAGTTTTACCTGAAGTACTTGGGTAGGGCACCAAACTGGATAGAGCAACAACCTGAGAGCCCCTCCTCTAACGGGGGTTTGGTTTCTTCCCTTCAGGAGGAGCTGCAAGCAAGCCATGCCACCTATGTGCGTCGCCACCCAGAGCTCCGTGCGCTGTTGGCAGATTTCTTACAGCTGCTGCTCCTTCGCAAGCCCGATGACGTGGTCACCTTCGCTGCGGAGTTCTTTGCCCCCTTTTCAGCGGAGCGCCCGCCCTGCAGGTCGTTTCGGTCATCCGACAAGCCCAGCCCCTTTCGCAGCCACGTCTAAACTATTCCAGCAGAAGAATAAAGACCCAGAGAATGATGCTGGGGTTTGCGGAAACTGTTTTTGGAAGTTGCTGGGGGCATGTCCTGCCCAGAGGGGTGCATGATGACTACTGCTGTGTCCAGGGCAGAGGCTCAGTCCTGAGGCACGCTGCTTCCCAAAGGGTGTTAGGAGTGCTGCAGGGAGTAGGAACTGAAACCGCTAGCATTTCCGCACCCAGCGCAGAGCTGGCGACTGTGCAAAGTGGGAAGTGGTGGAAAACCTCCAGAATGTGACATTTTGGATCAAATGTATCCTTAAAAAAGAAAAAAGAAGAAGGCAGGAGTTAAACTTTATAACAGACTTCTCTGAATTTAAATTTTTGGCTTTAGAGACAAAAGTTCAGCCAATAAATAATTGAATCAATTGATAGAAAATTTACAAAAAGTGAGACCAAATAAAGTTTTTTCCCCTATTATTGAAAACAATGAGTTTAAAAGGTGCATCCAAATATGTAGACTTCTGTGTGGAGGAACAGCTAATGGCTGTGGAAGAAGATGCACTGGCCTGATTCAGATGTAACTGAAAACTATGGTCAAAAGTGGGAAGCTACTGTTTATTGCAGCTAGAAACTTAGCATCTCCTCTCCTCCCACAGGAGGGGAAGGAGGTGAGAAAGGTAGGTGTGACTGTACAAACCGATGGCTCATGCCTGCTCATTGTTATATTTGAATCAAACCTTGAATAAGGTATCAAACAAACGTTAATTCAGATAAATCTGCAAGTGGTCTAAAAAATAATAATCAAGAAGTAGACATCCTTTCCGAAGAATGGAAGGAGATGGAAAAGGTGGCGTCATCTCTGTTTCTAGTATATCTGTCAACATTAAGAGCCAGTCATTCTCACTCAGGCAGGTCCTTTTTTCCAGTTACATCTGTAGGGACCCAGCCTTTACATTTGAAACATGTAAATAGCAAAATCCCCATCAAACACAATTTTGTTGTTTTGTCTAAATCAATATTAGAAGTTACAACATTTAAACATGCACCAAAACCTTAAAACATTTAAAATTGAAATTGTCCTCAGCTATTCTCTCGCAATACCCCTCCTGAAAGTTCAACATTTTACAGAGCACCAGTTATGTTCTCTTCATGTAGATAGATCTGGCAAATGTTTTTTTGTACTTACTTAGGAGAAGGGCGATGTTTACATGGGCCATTTTTGTCTTGGGAAAGAGAACACAGGAAATGTGGGGTTTTTAAAAAAGAAATGTTGTGCCTATTATCAAACTATGAAAGTACAGCATATTCTTAACACAGTTCTTTTAGCACAGTATCTCATCCCCCTTGGTAATTGTTCCATAAAGGGATATTTGTTTGTTTGTTTGTTTGTTTGTTTGTTTGTTTGTTTGTTTGTTTGCTCACTGACTGAAAATGTTTTCTGTACAAAAATATTATGTCTGCATAGGAAAAGCAGTGTACAGGGATAGCCCTCAGCCATCCATAGATAAATGATGATACTACTAATGGGGATATTCAATTCCATAAGCGCAGTAACCCATAGCTAACAGGGATTCTTACAGTGCGTTGTAACTCATTTCTCACATTTTCCTTTGGTTTTGCATTTTTGAAGCAGGGGTGCCATTTCAGCACTGGCCACCATGCTGTTTAAAAAACAAAACAGGAAAATGAAAAACTTTCCTGAAAACATTGCTATGAGTCCCTCTGATCCCCTTTGTGTTGGGCAACTCCTCTCTGCTCCTCAAAATTACAGGGCAGATACCCGTTTCATCTTCCTCCAGTGTCAGGGCTCTGACTGAGTCACCCTGGATGAGAGTTATGAGGCAGGGGTGGTTTTTTTGCCTTTTCTCCCTTTCCCCCCAGGCCTTGACATCTGTACTCCAGGGGGTAAACCAGCTGCTTTTGAACTTACTAGCCTCCTTCCTTCCTCTCTCTTGCCTATTGAGAAACCAGAACCTTTCCAGCTGCGAAAGAAAGCAGCATATTAGAATCACGGCCTTCATACAGTCAGTCCCTCAAGCTTGATAATCATTCAGCGTTTTGAATGATTCAACTCAGTGGCCACTCTGGTCCCAGATGGGCAACAATTCTGTGGGAAAGAACTGCACATGCCCTTGTTGTGCTGGGCCTTTAAACATTACACCAATGTTGTGGGATGAAACTATGGAAACATACCTCCCACACCATTGTAGTAACCTCTTTTAGTGGGCATGGGGAACCATTGGTCCTCCAGATGTTGCTGGACCACAACTCCCATTGACCCTGGCAATTGGCCATGCTTGGGCTGATGGGAGCTGTCGTTCAGTGACGTCTGGAGGGCCACAGGTTCCCCACACCTGCTGTGAAGGGAGCAATAATAAACCAAGAAAGATCCCTTTGAAGAATAAAGGAGATCAGTTGGGAGATATGAGAAGAACCAATGTTCACAGCAAAACGAAACATAGCTCTTTTGCTCACCTATATTTGTACTCCTAGGCCAGGAATGGTCCAGGGGCCAAATCCAACCTGCTGAGGAGTACTTAGCTGCCCGCCTTCATCAAAACCAGTCAATAGTAAGATGGCGGGTACAAGGATGGCATGCTTGCCATCTGTTTTCCACAGTGAGCTTGGAGTGTAGCTTGTCCCCTTAAACAGGAGGCGGACAGGTTCTGAGAACTGGGGATGTGACTGAGATGATGACTCAGCATCATGTGAGGCCAGTGTTCAACGTCCTTCACAAATAAGCTCAATGTGATAAAGACAATTTGCAACCATTTATGTTTCTTCAAAGGAGGAAACAGGGCTCTCTGGAATCAAAGATAACGCTCTTGTACAGATGGAATGGATACTTGTGGTTTAAGAAAATTAACACCCCCAAACTTCAATTATAGTTACTCAACAAAAAGGAATTCATTTCAATAGAGGTTATTGCCATGTGATCTTTAGGTTTGCATCAGTGAAGGCCTTGTGTAATATGAGAACAAAGAAAAGGGGTCAGTGACTGCCTAGGGCCTGTCAAACCCTATCAATGTTTGCGTTTATATGAGCTATAAAAGTATATGTGCATTTACATACTGCCATATGCTAAAGCTTAGCGTAGCTGTACATAGTTGGTAGCCTGCCTGCAGCCGAAGAACTGCCTAAATAGTGAATTTTTAAAAAATCATAAGAATACTTTAAAAATTATATTTATTATTTATACCCACTTTTCTGTAGCATGCATCCAAAGTAGCTTGCAAAAATTGAAGCAATCAGTAATACAAGACAATCTTTTGCACAATAAAAATGCAGCACTGAAGTCATTATATGAACAGCAAGCAGCTGTTACCAAAACCCACTATTATCACACCCATCAATGTACATGGTGCTTTACAGAGAACCAAAAAAAGGCTGGTCTCTTCCCCAAGGAACTTGACATTCACTTTATGCCATGGTCCTCACTGCCCCTCTGTAAGGAATTCATTGTCTTCAGAAGAGCCTTCCTGGATCTTGAACAGCATCCTGCTTCCCAGATGCCTCTCAGAAGCTCACAGAGAGGACATGGGGGGGGTCCCTCTCCCAGTCCAGTGGTGTTCCTCAGCGACTGGTATTTTGAGGCATGCTGCCTCTGATACTAGAGGTAGTATACAGCCATAATTACTAATAGTCATGGTTAGCCTGATCTCCTTTTGAAGCCATATAAATTTATAGCCATTGTCACACTGAGTAGAAGTGAAATCTGCATTATTTAACTGCACTGTATGAAGAAATGCTCAGTTTTGTCTGTTCTTAATCTCCCATCATTCAACTTTATTGGATAACTTTTCATTCTAGCTTTATGAGCGAAGGAGAAAAACTACTCTCCATCCACCTTCTCACCATACTATGCATCATTTTTATAAACCTCTAAGGTGTCTGCCCCTTGCTCAACTTTTTCGGAACTAAGAATCCCAAAACTTTATAGCCTCCCCAGAGTTACTCCTGCTTCTTAATCAGTTTCTTAATCAGCCTTTTCTGAACCTTTTTGAGCTTTTTCACCATCGGCAGAAGTCTCCTATGCCTAAAAGTATAGGACTCCTTTTTGTCATACGTCCGGAATTTCCTGGACATATCCGGAATACTGCAGTCGGCAGCAGTGTCTGGGCGGAAATCAGCAAAATGTCCGGGAAAATCTGGACATATGGCAGTATGGCAGCTCATGTTGGCAGTGCCATTTTTGTCAATTTCCCATAAAAATACAGTTATACCTTGGATCGCGAAGTGAGTGTTCCGGTTTTCGAATCATTTTTGGGAGCCAAATATCTGTTGGGGCTTCTGATTGGCTGCAGGAGATTCCTGCAGCCAATCAGAAGCTGCACTGGAGTTTTCAAATGTTTTGGAAGTCAAATGAACTTCTGGAACGGATACTGTTTGACTTCCAAGGTACAAACAACTATAGCTCAAAAACTGCAATTTTTATTGGAATTTTAAAGCTCAACAACTTTTCTGTCCGGATTTTCACTGCTTGAAATATGGCAACCCTATTTTAGGACCTAGAGTTCGTAATAATGTCTTTTGGCTTTCTGCCCCATAATTCACAGCCTTCAAAAGATCCCTTGCTAATTCACTTCTTCCCGGCCTATTGCACACAGCCTTCAAGTCCCACTGTCACTGGGACCTATGAGACCTTTGGGGCACATCTCACATTCTCCACTCAACCTTTTTTCCCTCCAGCTCCACAACCCACCATTTTCCTAGCCCAGTGTCTATTCCATCCTCCCTTCTTTAACCACCCTGTCTGTCAATTATTCCTAGCATTTTAAAATTGTGCCTGGGCCTTTTAACACTTGTGAGACAAGCGGAAATTCAATAGGTAAATGTTTCCCCACTTATATCTGCATACAGGGATCTTTCTCTCTCCACAAACAGGAAAAACACAAGTACAGAGATAATGATTTAATTATGGGGGCTGCTTGCTTTCAATTTGGCCTGGTGCCTTAATGGAGAGTAGCGGCATGGCAGCGAAAGTTTGCTTTCAAACAAAGAAGTGACTGTTCCTATTGAAGTGAGCACACATGAGTGCCGGGAATACGAGGTTTGTTCATGGATGACTAATGCAGTTGTGTGTCTCAAAGTGTGGCGAAATCTGGATAATTCCTCTACCACACAAACACCATAAAATCCCTCAGTTCTTCAGCTTGGAAATCACATGACTTATTCTACCTACAAATGTTATCAGCTGGCCAGGGAGGAAAGCGCTTCCTTGGTGAACTCTCTGTCTTTTCTGTGAACAGCTTTATGGGCAAAAATAAATCAGGTAAAACTTTTCATTGTGCAGAGGTAAATGCCAACAGCTCCAAACGTCCACAAATCAAGCTGCTTGGAAAGTTACAGGAGCAGGATCCTGGAATCGTAGAATTGTAGAATTGGTAGGGAACCTGAGGGTCATCTAGTCCAATCCCCTGCAATCCAATACAGTGGTACCTCGGGTTACATATGCTTCAGGTTACATACGCTTCAGGTTACAGACTCCGCTAACCCAGAAATATTACCTTGAGTTAAGAACTTTGCTTCAGGATGAGAACAGAGATTGTACGCAAGCGGGAGGCCCCATTAGCTAAAGTGGTGCTTCAGGTTAAGAACAGTTTCAGGTTAAGTACGGACCTCCGGAACGAATTAAGTACTTAACCCGAGGTACCACTGTAATCTCAACTAATTACACTTGACAGATGGCCATTCAACCTCTGCTTAGAAACTTTCAAGGAAGAAAAGTCCACTGCCTTCTGAGAGACTGCATTCCACTCTATTGAACAGTTCTTACTGTCAGAAAGTTCTTCCTCTTGTTCAGTTGGAATCTCCTTTCTTGTAACTTGAAGCCATTGGTTTGGGTTGTAGCCTCTGGAGCAGAAGAAAAGCTTGCTCCATCTTCCATGTAACAAAATAATTCCTCTTTTGCAAACAAAGCACTATTCTATGTTGTCAGATTTACCTTCCAACCAAGCTTTCCAAGTGGTTTACAAAACCCATAGAATGCAAAATGCAAGCAATGATCACACGAAGATCAAAAGAATAGGATAACTTCATTCACTAAGGCCGGTTACGTTACTGAACATTCATGTTCCATTTTCATGTGCGTTTCCATTTGTGTCATTGTGTTACCCTCACGCCTCTGTGGGAAAGAGGACCACAACAAGAGGGACCCCCTCTGCAAGACTGGTTTGCAAAAATGTGAAAGCCAAATGCAGGCAGCCAAAATTTTCCAGCAGATGGCACAACTCCCATGCGAGGAGAAGTTGCAGCATTTGGGGCTTTTTAATTTAGAGAATAGACAAGTAAGAGGTGACATGATAAAAGTTAGCACAATTTGTGAGTCACGGGGAAAGAGGATAAAGATTTTTTTCTCCCTCTCTCATAAAGCTATAACTCATGGACATGAAGCTGAAAGTTGGAAGGTTCAGGACAGCTCAATGGAGCAGGTGAATTTAAATCTTTATTATAAAAATAGAATTTGCACAGGAATGCTAGGACTAATGATAGATGAGCACACAACACTTTTTCTGTAGGTCTTGCCCCTATAAGGCAGTGGCAGAGACAAAAATCTCCCACAGCCTTCCCACAGCTGCCTAAATCCCCTCCTTTCCAGAGATTTTCCCAATCGGAGCAATCTGAGACTACACCAGCATGCCTGCCTTTGCTCCTCCCACTTCATGCCTCTCCTGGTTCTGGGAGACTTGGGGGATGGGGAGCTTTTTGCAGCAGGAGGGGGAGACACCCTGGCTTCTTCACCAGCCTGACTCATCTCTGCCTCTTGGCCTTCCTCCTCTCCTGCTTCCATTTCTGACTTTGTACTTCTCTCTGCCCCAGACTCTCCCTTCTCACTAAATCCTGTTGCCTCTTCAGCTTCCAAGCCTTCTCCTCCCAGTCTTCTCCCTCTTCTCCTTCATCGTCGTCCCACCACTGCTCTGAGCCTTCTTCCCTTGGGGGTTCCCCAGCTGGTGTCTTCCACTATTCCTGTGCATTCAGCCAGTTGATGACAGTTACAAGGCATAGTTCAAACCTAGAGGAAAATGATGACAAAGCAAGTAGCGCAAAGGGATGGATGAAACCAACAGAGTCTTCCCCCTCCCACACACACACACACACACTTCCTCAAAAGATCGTGCAGAATCTTGGAGTTTATTCATTGCACAGTGGGAAGTAAAGTAGCTAAATAAGGATGACAAGAACCTGAATAAGAATTTTGTTTCAGAATGCAGAAGCTGTTCACTGTTTCAACACTGGAGCATAGGCCACAGGGGGTGGGCAGGAGATCTCACTTCCTACGCTAGTGTGGGAAAGCACTGTGACCTTGCTGATGTTGTAGAACTACAATTCCCATCAGCCCCCAGCCAGTGTGACTAAAGGGCAGGGGTGATGGTAGCTGACGTTCAGTGACCTCTGGAAGGCCACAGGGTCGTTATCCCCATCTTACACATTCTCTGCTTTATGACATTTCTCAACCCCCTGCAACACAGAAATAGGCTGCTGTCCCATATAGGGATCAAACCTGAAACCTTGGCATTAGGAGCACCATGTTCTAACCAACTGAGCTAGGTCGTGCTGCCCTAAATCCACCTCTGCTCCTTTGGCTGGTAGTGCAAACAACAATAGCCAGAGTTGAAAGTGCGTGAGCTGGGCTAGAAGCAGACAGAAGCCAGAGTCATGCTTGATTTCTGCTAGAATCCAAGGCGCTGGCTATGAGAGAAGCAAGACCCTCTAGGGGTGTTAATGCTGTGAGCCCCCCATCGTGGGCTCAGATTGTATATATGTGTAAATAAATCATATATCATAAAGACACCAAAGTCTCCACTGTCCCTCATTTCAAGAAATCCAGACCCTGGAATCTCGCATCACTCAGAGGTTGGGGTGGCCTGCAACAATATGTATGTGTGACAAACTACCAAATGTATAATCTTCCAAATACACTAACTAAAAAAAAGGATCATTGGCGCATCTTTGGTTTTACAATCCTGGCCTCAGTTTCTTGCCATTGGAGTGTAGAGTAGGCAACAGAAGGTGATGCTTGGTTCTGTGTTGTGTGACTGGGTGGTTTCAGACATGCTAGCACAGCACAGGAGGTAGGCTGCTTTGTGTTATCAGGAAATGCAGGTTTCCAGGGGGACTTTGCAAGTTGCTAAATATTTATAGCAAGGTGTCCTTGAAACTATTCAATATACCACAACCAGGTCAGGTTATAAAGCTCACAGCTCTTGTTTGTATTGGACTGTGGGGTGTATGGAGGAGCAATTCAAATAGGGTTGTGTCAGGTGCTGCTGGTGCTTGCTCGTGAGTAACCAGGCAGGACAGTGTGGTGTAGTGGTTAAGAGTGGTAGACTCGTAATCTGGTGAACCGGGTTCGCGTCTCCACTCCTCCACATGCAGCTGCTGGGTGACCTTGGGCTAGTCACGCTTCTCTGAAGTCTCTCAGCCTCACTCACCTCACAGAGTGTTTGTTGTGGGGGAGGAAGGGAAAGGAGAATGTTAGCCGCTTTGAGACGCCTTCAGGTAGTGATAAAGCGGGACATCAAATCCAAACTCCTCTTCTTCTTCTTCTTCTTCTTCTTCTTCTTCTTCTTCTTCTTCTTCTTCTTCTTCTTCTTACCTGTCTTTAACAGGTTTTATTGGTGCAAACTATTTACAGTGCAGAACCATAAAGTTCATGTCCGTCTTAGTCACTTGCAGATTCCGGGAGTGGCCCCTTCTGGTTTCTCCCCCAACATAAGAACTTAGACACCCCAAATTTCCGCCTCCCCTCCTTACGTTTCACCCCTCTGTGCAAGCTAGGCGACAGAAACGGCGTGTCTGCCTCCTGGCCAGCCGGGCGAGGTGAGGCGCTTGGGCTCTCCGTAGCATCTTCGAGCCCTCCGCTCGCTTGGCTGTCCCCTCCCCCCTCTGCTCCACTGGAGGTGTGGCTTTCCCCACTGCTGGACAAGGAGCTGTTCCTCAGGGAGGCTCTCTGTATCCCCCTGCCTCCCTCCCTTGTTCCAATGGCAGTCCCCTGACAGGTTGTTAGAACTTCGATGGGAAACAAGAGAGCCAGCATAAACTGAGGATAAATGCTGTGATCTAATAGTATATTTAGCTGGATAACTATGAAAGCTGCACTTGATGGAGCTCTTGATGATGTCATGCAGCTATTAGAATCCCAGTTGCAAAAGGTGGTGTGTGTGTGTGTGTGGCAGAAAGAGAGAGAGAGAGAGAAAGAAAAAGAAAGAGGAGTGTGGGTGTTTGCATACTTTCAGATTTAATCAAGGGCAGCACAAACTGGCTCTAAAAATTAATGAACATCTTCAGGTTACTTGGTTTCTCAAATTTATCAGATTATCCACGATTATAGGATGCACTTGCTTTAGGATGACCACATTTTCAGCTGGTCCTTTTAAAAGCAGCCCGATACACAAACATGTAAGAAACCACGCTTTTGCTGATACAAAGTGTTAAATGTGGAACTCTGCCTGGAAAGAGTGGAGCAAAAAGTAAGTGTGGATAAGCCCTAAACTCTGACATTGTGTGCCAACCTTCCCTCCCCACGTCCACTACATTTTCCAGAAAGGTTTCTTTGTGGTACTAAAACCAGCAAGCAGTGTATCTAACATACCTTCTTCCTTGGATAGGCAAAGATACCCAGGGTTGTACATGGGTAGATAGGAGAAAGGGGCAGAGATTTGTATTGCCATTATTACTTTTTACGGTCAGGGGAGGACTTCCTTCTTTTGCTTCCTTATGAAAATCCCGGACTGACTAAACTGAGCTCACTCTCAAGAATTGCCCTGCTCAGATCACTCTGTGTTCTTTAGACTGCTTTAATTTGGTGCCCATGATCTGTGGATACCCAGTTTTGCATCAGTTCTGAAGAAAGAAAGAAAGAAAGAAAGAAAGAAAGAAAGAAAGAAAGAAAGAAAGAAAGAAATTCTCAATGGGATCACAGGAACCAGGTAGGTTTCATTCTACTTCTTCCCTCTGTTGTGATGATAACTTTTTTTTTAAGCATGGATCTTTTTTGACACTGCCTGTCCTCATCTGATTTACCCTTTTCAAATCCATGTGACTTTAACAAAAAGGACATATGAAAATATAAATATTCCTTACCATGGTAGCTTACATTGTTTGTCCATGAGATGGCTAAGTACTGTTGGTGCTGCAGTCCTGCAACTTTGTTTTTTTTCTGTGCCTCCAACTGGCTGCTTAATGGAAAAGAAGCACAACTCTCCTCATCGCTGCATCTCCAGCCAAAGAAATATATGTATCTTTTAGTGTCTGCCTATCACAGGGGCTCTGCTAAAAACAACTGTGACAACTGTAAATGAATACAATTACTGTTATATACAGTACAGTAAATAGCAGAGATTGCTATAGCATTGTGTAAACATTCCAGGAACTTGACAGTGTGGGGAAATCTTGCCTTTTTCTACATGTTAACCACATTGCTTTGTGTCAGCAACCTAATCCTTCATGGCAGGCTTTGAGCTGGTTCATCTGAAGTCTGTGACACCCTCTGTGGAGTTGTGATCCACATGTAAGGGCATGATTGATGTCTATGTTTATTCTGGATTATTTATGAATCCAGAACTGGTGGAGGGCAGACGTTGAGTGCTAAGGGTAGCCAGTTGAAAAAGAGGAGAGAGGACTCTTGCACCTTTAATAGTTGTGTGGAAAAAGAGAATGTCAGCATGCATAGCTTGGGCTAAAGATGTAACATCAAGTCTAAGTTGGTCTTTCGTTCAAAGGATGCTGAATTGTCTCTGCCATATGCAAAGCCTGGGCAAACTATCTGGTTAGTACCATAAGAGAGGAAAACGGGTTGGTAAATCATGCAAGAAGCAGGATAGGCTGTGAAGGGATAAAATAGGAGGAAACTATATACAGTGGTACCTCAGGTTACAGATGCTTCAGGTTACAGATGCTTCAGGTTAAAGACTCCTCTAACCCAGCAATAGTACCTCAGCTTAAGAACTTTGCTTCAGGATGAGAACAGAAATTGTGCAGCAGCAGCAGCGCAGCGGCAGTGGGAGGCCCCATTAGCTAAAGTGGTACCTCAGGTTAAGAACCATTCAGGTTAAGAACAGACCTCCAGAACGAATTAAGTTCTTAACCCGAGGTACAACTGTAATGGTTTTTGGAGAGCTATTACTAAACTTCAGCAAAGGTGCTACTGCACCACTGTCTGAATGAGAGCCTATAAACTGAAGTTGATACCACCCTAAAATGTATGGTTATATCAAGGGTGGTTTATAATTAAATAAATGCTGATGAATCACACAAAAGACAGGAAATTCCTCAGCAAGAAAGGGATGGTGGGGGGAGAACAAATTTGCTTAAGACTTTCAGTTTGTAATTGGGGAACTCCCTGCCTTTGATATCAGGCTGGCACCTTCACAGTTCTCTCTCTGGCACATGCTAAAAATTTGCTTAGGCAAAGCCTAGCCAGACACATAGAATGCTGATGTGTGTTTTAATCTGCCTTTTAGCTTATTGTGGATTTTAATTATTTTTGGAAGTTTTAAATAGTCGTTTCTAACTGGGCTTTTATTCTAATGATAATTTCTCTCTTTTATTCTTTTTGTAAATCTCTTTGAGGTTTGTTTGGGTTTTTTTACAATCAAGAAATAAAATAATTTTGCAAAATAAATAAAAATGAATAAGGTATTTGTATAAGTGCAAATTTAAAAATAATTACTATAGTTTAGTTAGTAATGGGGAAGACTGTGCCCCCTCCATTTTTCTGCACTTAACGCTTTTTTGTATCTGAATGCCATGTACCAAATATTCAGCGCCAGCCCTATCATTAGGCAGAGTGAGGCAGCTGCTTCAGTCAGCTGAGGAAGAGGGGCATCATGGAAGGACAGCAGACGGTTACTCTTTTATTTTTTATTGTAAAAGTAAAGGGACAGTTTGAAAAAGTTTAGTACCTCCTGCAGTTTTGAGTCTGCGTACATACCAGGGATGCCATCTTCTAGGGGACAAGACCTTTGGGGCCTCCCAATAATTTTGGGGAGGGGGTTGCCCCCGCAATGTTCAAAAGGGATGGAGGAGGCCAAGCACAGAGCTGAATGTGGCATGGCTTCAGTGGCCAGTTCCTTCTCCTCCTCCTTCTGCCGTGGACGGGAAGCAGCCCCTGGCCTCTGAGGAGGAAGAGAAGGAGCTGCCAGTCATTGAAACCACACTGCCTCTGCGTTCAGCTCTGCCTCCAGCTCCTCGGACTGGCTCCTCGGCCACACACCATGTGACCTCAAAACACACACACACACACCCATTCTTCCTTGGAAGTTGGAGCCTCTGATACACGCCATACATTCAAAACCCATTCAAAGCACATGACTTCCCCAAAGAATCCTGGGAACTGTAGTTTGTTGAGGGTGCTGCGAAAAGTAGTTCTGTTATGGGTAAGCTACAGTATCCAGGATTCTTAGGGAGAAGCAATGTGCTTTAAATGTATGCTGTGCATGCAGCCTTTGATGCTGAGAGGAATTTAGATTTCCAGGCATCGTCATAGTCCATATATAAGTAAATGCACGCAGGGATTTGTTTGTTTTGCCATGATACATAATCTACCAACACCTGCAAAAGCAACATTCAAATTCCCTCATTTAACATTTGCCCATACATTTTGTTTTTTGTCCTGAAGAAATTAGCAGAGCCATAGCTCAATGGTAGAGCATCTGCTTTGCATGCAGAAGGTTGCAGATTCATAGGAATACAGACAGCTGCTTTATTTTGACAGCAATTTTAAGGAGTTTCCTGGAATGGTGCAAGAATGACTGGAAATCTACTCATTTTAAAATAGTTTTGTTGTTGTTGTTGTTGTTCATTCATTTATTCATTAAATTTGTCAGTCTTGCCCAGGGCAACCCAGAGCACAGCCAACAAAGAGACAACAAATCTCACATGGATACATTAAAACCAAGAGGAAAGAGAAAAACATTCAAAAGCATCTCACCCACTTCTAAAAGGCCACAGATAGTTAAAGGTCAAAGGACTGGTTACAGAGGAAAGTTTTTGCCATATATAATGATGTTGCCAAATAAGCCTCCCTGGGAAGAGCATTCCACAAACAGGGAGCCATTGCAGAAAAGGCCCCCTCTTGTGTGCTGCCCTCCAGACCTCTTCTGGAGAAGGCGCACAAAGATTGGCCTCCAATGATGAGTTTAAGCCTAAGTGTCAGGATAAGTGCAAGCCCTGTGTCAGGGTAGGGGTGTTTTTTCCATCTTAGATCTGGCAGTAAGACCTGCTGGTATGTATCCCTAGCTGAATATGCAAATGAGATTTCGCCTCATGGAGCAGTGAAAAAGGGAGTGAGGACTCACTAGACTGGTTTCTCCAGATTGCTCAGTCTCATCAGAAAACAGAACTTTGGCTTATATGCAGCTGAGCGGCAAGCAGAGCATCTCATCTGGCTGTGCAGGAGCTCAGCTTGGAAAGCACATGCAGGACAGATAGACGGCATGGGTAAGATTGTGGTAGGATATTGACATTTGCCAAAGTATTTTCTAGCATAGAACTGATTTTAGAAACATCAGCATTGTTACAGCGTCACCAGCAAATCTATTGTATGCTTCTCTGAACCTGTGAGTTATGAATTATTTCCTGTTTCTGTTTAATGCAATTCTGCATGTCTCTCTTCTCAGCAGAACTGGCATCAGTAAACACAACTTCATAAAAGCAGTGGTCCCAGAATGACAGAGAGCTTCTGTCTCAAGTTTCTTTTAATGCACAGCTCCAAGAGATAGGCTGTTGGCTGTATAATAGCTGCGACAGGCACTGCAGGCATTCATGCAGGTAGCAGCTCCTACAGAGTCGCTGTAGCGTCGCTTTTTCCTCCAAGAGCATGGTTCACTTGTATGGGCCTGTCCCTTGAGAACATGGATGAGAAGACTGCAGGCCAAGTCACTGAGCCAAACGGGGCTGCGAGCTTGAGTCCCAATGGTGGCAACTCATTGGTACAGTGTAGTGGTTTGGGTTGTAATCTGAACCTCAACATACCTGGGAGTAAGCGCCATTGAATTTGGACTGGAATTGTACCGTTAGACAGAATCCCCTTGTTCAATTTTCACCTTTGTCAGATATCCTTAGGGCAAAACCACTGTTATCTCAGGAGTAGGTAAGAGTTATAATATAATGATGGGACAGTGCTGCCTTGTGATGGAATTAGACAAAGAGGATATAGTCATGATGGCATTATATGAGTGAGAAAGGACCCTTCTTCTTCTTCTTCTTCTTCTTCTTCTTCTTCTTCTTCTTCTTCTTCTTCTTCTTCTTCTTCTTCTTCTTTTCTTCTTTGGCGATCACTCGTAGCCGAGTAAGATTGTCTTCCATAAACACGGTTTTAACAATGAGTCCATAAGTAACTGTAGAGGCCAATTCTGGACCCACACGTCCTTCCACAGTGGGGATATTGGTTCCCGGGTGGGAGTTGATCACAGTGTGGATTTGCCAGGTGTGCCTTCCTCTTAACACATTTCTCCCTTGTGTTCTGAGTTCAAGTGTCTTCAAAGTCCATAACACCTTTGGTTAAGGCTGTTCCCCAGCTGGAGAACTCGCAAGCCAGCGTTTCCCAGTTGTCAGTGTTTATACTACATTTTTAAAGATTTTCCTTGAGACAGTCTTTAAACCTCTTTTATTTACCACCAGCATTACGCTTTCCATTTTTAAGTTCGGAATAGAGTAGTTGCTTTGGAAGACGATCATCAGGCATCTGCACAACATGACCAGTCCAATGAAGTTGATGTTGAAGAATCATTGCTTCAACACTGGTGATCTTTGCTTTATCCAGTACACTGATCATCACCTTGTCGTGGTGAGTGGGCTTGCATGTTCCTATGACCCTTGAGAAGGACCATAGCTCAGTAGTAGAGCATCTGCCTTGCATGCAGAACATCCCAGGTTCAATCCCTGGCACCTCCAGGTAGGACTGGGAATATCTACTGCCTGGAGAGACACTGGCAGTCAGTGTGGACAATACTGAGTTAGATGGGTCAGAAGTCCGACTCAGCATATGGCAGCTTCCTATATTACCTCCAGGATCAGAATCGGCATGCATCTGAATGCCAGTCACTGGGAACAACAGCCAGAGAGGGATATTGTCTTGCACCCTACTTGTGGGCTTCCCAGAGGAATCTGGTTGGATCCTGTGGGAATCAGCTTACTGGATTGGATTGTCCTTTGAGTCTGATCCACCAGGGCTCTTCTAATGGTTACCTTGTTGCGAGTGGCTCCACCCCCCTTTCAAATCACTGACTGTGGCTGCTGGCAGGGTCAGTGAAATTTGCAGTGTAATGATATTACGTCATTAGGTAAGTGCTCTTAGATGTAACGGTGAGTGCAGAGCGGTTTCGGCAGCATCATGGACAATATAGGGCTCCCATCTCAGTCCCATCATTTGCAGTGTGAGAAAAATAATACTTGCCTTCCTTGCAAAGTTTTTTTGAGGACTACTCAAGGCACTTCAAATGTGTTGCAAAATGCTAAGTATTATTTTCACTGATTATCATAATAATGCTGTATCATTTCAGTCACTAAGCAGTCTCTCTTTAAGATTCTCTCCTTCTTTTAATGCCTGCTACAAGCTCCCTCTCTTTTCCATGGACTCTTCACAGACGGTGAAATCAGAAGGAAACCAAGATATGGCGCCACTAATTCACTGGTACCGAATAATCACCAGGAGACTGGAGATCAAACCTACTTGGATGAAAAGATTGCCATTCCAGATGTTGCTGGAGTAAGTGGGGTTGGAGAAGGAATTTGACTTTGTTTGTATTTTAATGAGAAATGTCCCAATTTTCATGCAAACCGAAACACAGTCACCCCTTTTAAATTCACACTTCTAATTTCTCCAGCCAACGTGTACAAACATGCATATATTAGGCGGAAGTACCGTATATACAGAATGCATATATTAGTGAAAATAACATACACAAATGCATTCTATGGGGGAAATGGCTTGCAGAAATGTGTGTATTAGTCAAAACTGCAGGCAAAATGTGTGTTTATTAGGTGAAATTCGCATTAAAGTGCTGGTGAATTTTCATGAAGATTTTAAAAAACAGCGCCTTCCCCCCACTGGAAATTTCTGGGGAAATGTGGACAGCTGAATTTAAGACTGGAAAAATCAGGAGCTAAGGGAAGCTGAAATTGAGAGATTCATCCATCCTGACGAGTAGAGTAAATCATTGGTCAGATGGTTAACACATGGCTCGTTCTCTTGGGGTCGGACTGTTGGCCCGTTATGGGGCACTGAGAGTGATAGATGGCTCCTTTTAATAAATATCAATGCCGTGTAAAATGGTCTGGTGCAGTGGTTTTCAACCAGTGTGCTGTGGCACCCTGGGGTGCCTTGAATGATGGTTAGGGGTGCAGCAGGCAACACTGACCTCTGTCCCTCTTTCCTTCCCTCCCTTCCTCTAATGGCCTCTTGCATCTCTGCCTCCCAAAGGCTTGTGCAGCTGTTTGTTGCAGCAGCCTTGGCTACAAGCTCCGCAGGCAAATGGTGCCTCTGGGGCTGGCCAGGGGGCGCTAGATGCCAGGAGCTGAGGCAGCCTCAGAGTAAGCAAGCAAGCAAGCAGGCAGGCAGGCAGGCAAGGGAGCCCAGCCAGCCAGTCCACCAGCCCTTGCTGTTGGGAATGGACACACAAGTCCCAGCCCCCTGTGGGGCAGTGTGAGAAGACACTCCTCTCTTTGGGGCTGGGGGGGGCAGCTCAGAGACCGGGGTGGCGGCGGCGACTGCCTGGAGGACTCCCAAGAAGAGAAGAGGAGGCTGAGGGAACACTCCAGAAGGGAGGGTGTTCAAAAAAGGGTGAGAGCCTGCCAGCTCTGCAGGCAAGGGGTGACATAACTGGGCACCTGGGCCCCACAGAGGTGCTGCAGAAAAAATGTAGCTGGTCAAAGGAGCCATGGACGCAAAATGGTTGAAAGCCTCTGGTCTAGTGTGTTCATGTGGAGTGTGGGTGTCCCTGTGAGTTCATTGGCCTGTTCCATGCAGACAGCACCAGCAGAGTTTCAAGGGATCCTGTGAGCATCTCTATTGCTTTCCTGCCATTTTGTATTTTCTGTGATGTGGTTTCCTCCTTCTGGGCTGAGCACACATTGGAGACAGTGGACATTCAGCTGGCAAGGTATCTCCAGTCCCAGCATAATGTGGATATAGTATAGTGGAAGTTTGCTTTGCCCATCATCTGAAGTCAGTATACTCTTCCACTCCAGTGCTGGAGAATGCATCTTCCATGATGATTTTTTTAAAAGCATGGTAAATGGCTATTCCCCTGCTGTAAGGCTACTCTCCTTCCATGGTGGGGGAAGAGGATAGAGGGCTACTGGAATTGAATGAATTGCTGAAGGAATAGAAAGAGGAGTCATTATCTGGGGTAAACAGTAGGACATTTCAGTTCCTTTCTCACACTGAGGAAGTGGTTTTGCAACAAGTGTTTAGTTGCAATGCAATCATGTGTTTTCTGTGACATACAAGGGTTAAGCAAGACAGAATTTCTGTGACATTATCAGCCAGCTCCCCTAAGAGTGATTGTTCAGCAGGAATGTGTGTAGCATTGCAGCCTTACAGCTCAATTGTGCAATCTTCACAGATGAACTATGGCACCCAATTCTGCATATGATTGCAGCCATTACCATGCAATCCTTTGTATCTTCACTCAAAAGTAAGTCCCATTAAGTTTACTCCTCAATGGGGTTTACTTGGAAAGAGGCTACAAGATTGCAGACTCAATTCCCTAACCTTAATTCAGACTCATTTCACAGGTTGTCTGAGAAGAACAGAGCTTCCATATTTACAAAAACTAAACAGGAATGCTGAGTACAGCTTGTACCAAAATGTTACTTTCAGAAAGAATTGTGTGGATTTTGTATATTTGCGCGATAGAATTACTTTGAATATATTATTATTTGTTTATCTTACCTCCAGCTTTTGCTTTCTAACTTTCTCTATAAATGTCTGATTAATTTACTTTTTTTTTTTTAAAGCAAGCTCAGAGGTCGGGGCTCATGTTGGCTCAGAGCATGGTCCATGTGTGCCCCTTGTGCCCCCCTACCAGTGGCCCTGCCCTGCTCTGGCTGGTTGAAAGCAATGGTGTCTATGGTACTTGCTCTCCTAAACTGTGTGAAAAATAGCGGCATTCAGAGCAGCTGCCCCTAAATAAAGACCTGATACAGAATGAAGAGCTAAGTGTGAATCAGTGTAGTAGAGCTAAGATGACCTCCAATCTCTCTCTCTTCTCTCCTGTCCCTTTTCATTGACTCTTCAACACCTTTTCCTCCCCAGTATGGTTTCAGTTTTAGGAAGCTCTGGGCATTCACCGGGCCTGGCTTCCTCATGAGCATTGCCTTCCTGGACCCAGGAAACATTGAATCAGACCTGCAGTGTGGAGCCGTTGCCGGCTTTCAGGTGAGCACAGGAGAGAACAGGCATTTGTTGTAGGGTGTGCCTGGACAATATAAGGCCCTTGGGCTTCACACACCCCTCTCCTTGTCTTCTTGGGGTTCTACTGGGACAATTCTCAGTGTTTGCAGCCTTTTCCCACCCCATTTTAGGAACATCATCGCTCAGCCAAGCCCAACACAAGAGTGGGGGTGGGATAGGACCTGCACTGCTGCAATCTGCAATGGTCCTCTCCTTGGTTCAGCAGGGGTTAGTAGAGTTGGCACTATTCCATCCACCCGATGCTGCATGGCCAACTAGCATCTGAGTATTATGCACCACTGAATTATAGGCCTGAGGCTAAGCAAAAGCTTTGAGGTTGGGCTTGTGCTCTTGCTGCATTGCTGCAGAAGCCCCCAAATACCTAGTGACGCCATGTGCCCTTGCTCCCTGCACAGCTGCTCTGGGTTCTGCTCTGGTCCACAATCCTGGGCTTGCTCTGCCAAAGACTGGCCATCCGGCTCGGGGTCGTTACAGGCAAAGATTTGGGAGAGATATGCCATTTCTACTATCCCAAGGTGAGTATGAATGGAGAATCAGGCTGTGAACTGCATGATTAGGTACGAAACACTGGCTGCGGCATCCCCCTTTCCTGTGAGTTGGTGGAAGGGACTCTGGTCTGCCATATGACTCTGGTTAGAGGCATAACTAAATCTCCTCCATTTCTCTGATTACCTCAAAGTCAAGAATGAATGAATGAATGAATGAATGAATGAATGAATGAATGAATGAATGAAATATCCAGTATGAATTAGGCAGCTAGGAATTGAACCACGCAACCCAGTCATTTCTCAATCTGAACATGGAATCAGCTTTACCTCTATCTGACGGCATGCTCTGATTGAGGGCTGTGTGATTTTAAAGATGCCCATTTCTGCACTGAAAAGGGTTGAACAAGTGGTACGATATCAAGTGGTGTACATGCCACATGTGAAGCTTCTGAAGTTACGATCATTGTTAGAGGCATGGGGAGCTTCTGCTTAGACCTGGCCATAGAGCAGTTTGGGGGTACCAGCTCCTGTCCATGTTGTATCTGACAGACTCCCATTCTGTTTGGTGCAGGTTCCTCGTGTGCTGCTCTGGATCATGATAGAAATTGCCATCATTGGCTCTGACATGCAAGAAGTGATAGGCACAGCCATTGCCTTCAACCTTCTGTCAGCTGGACGGTAAGTTCCCCATTCTTCTGCGGCCACGTGTGAGTGGGCAGGTTTCCAAGATGTTGCTGACCATTTTTGCACCACAACCATATTGCGCTGGGTTAAGCAGAACCTTTTAACAGACGTGCATCTATTAGATTTCTGCCCATTGTAGAACTACTAACAATTAGAGAAGGCCCATCAGATAAGAAATGAATTGGTAACCCAGAGTCTGCCCTGCCCCCCCAAAAAAGCACAGGTCTCCTCTTCCCTTCAGACAGAGATATTGCTTGTGGCATCAAGATGTTGAGTAGTCATTGTGCCCTAAGAAGCTAACCATGTTTAGGGGGAAGAGGGCTTAGTGTTCCCTCTCCCTCTATCAGGTTGGTAACTTCTGGTTTTCCTTTGCAGTATCCCTTTGTGGGGTGGAGTCTTGATCACCATTGTGGACACTTTCTTCTTTCTCTTCTTAGATAAATATGGTATGTATCCTGTACAGGGGGAAATAGTTGAATGTGTGACTCAGTCAGCTAGTGAAGTGTTTCAAAGGTTACGAGGGGATTTTTTGAGGAAATGTGCTTGTTGCATGACAAAGAGCACTCAAGCTAAAAGTTAACGATTTCTGAAGCAGGTTTGAATCCCAACACCTCCCCTAATGAGCTTGCTTTGGCCTCTTCTGTTCCTTCCCAGGTCTCAGAAAGCTGGAAGCCTTTTTTGGTCTCCTCATCACAATCATGGCACTGACATTTGGCTATGAGGTAAGCCCACACATCCCCCAGGCTCCACTGCAAACAATGCCTTCATCCACTCTCCTCCATTATGGCCAGGCCCTGACCCTTTAGATCTGAGAAAAGCACTGTCAGGTCACCTCAGGGGTCCATCTAACCCTCCCCAAACTGTTGCCCACAAGATATTTTGAACTGCAGTTTCCCATCAGTCCCAGCTACCAAGGCTATATTGGCTGGGCTAATGGGAGTTGTAGTCCAAAACATCTCAAGACTGATCTAATTGGTGGTTTTGAAAAACTGGATTCCTCCAGGAATCTCATAAGAACAATATGAAGGCAGCAACACACCCACACACTGCAGCCAATATTATTTGTCCACAGTAATTGGTATTCTGAGGTACTCTAGTGTTGTCTCTGAATGTGGGGGTTCCAATTACCTGTCATGGCTACACAAACATTTACATAGTTAGGCTCTATGGATTTGTCTAGTGCTATTTTTCTAGAAAAAGAGTTACCAGAATGCAAATGAACACAATGGCGTCTACCTTAGAGTTCCAGCTGGAAAAAAGCCCTGGATTTGTTTAATAATTTTTTAAAAAATCAATCCAGGGTAATGAACACACCAACAATGAGTAGCAATGAATACCTAAGTTAATAGTACACTCAAACTACAAGTGTTAGAAAAGATTTTTGTGTGTACTCCGATATCAAAGTAGCACTCAAACAGTGGAGCTAAGTTAAAACTGAGCATGTTTACCTGGACTTTGCTCCGCATTCAAAAGGGATTTTCCCAGGAACCTTTACATGGCTCTGCCCCCTCCTGTTCCTTGAGTGACTCCCATTTTAAACATGCAAGAATTAGAGGCTGGAGTGTAAAAGGAAACCTAACCCCATTGCAAATAGGGATGAGAGGGTGAGATTTTCACACTTCCAGAAATAATACACAATCTGAAATACAGTACACTGATCCCTGGAAATTCGCACTTCTCTGAATTTTGCGGTGCCATTCTGCAACAAAACAATTACTTATAACAATGGGTGAAAATGTGCATATAGAATGCATATATTAGTGAAAATGAGCTACAAAAATATACTGGGTATATATTTTTGCTTGCAAAATTAAGTATATTGTGCAAAATTACAAATGAAAATTAGGAGAAGTGTACACTAAAATGCTGATAAATCTTCATGATGAACTTTAAAAATAATAATTGCAATCTGGTGCAGAAATGTGGTGAAATAAACAAGGCTGGGAAACAGAGAAAAACCAAAAGTGACAGATTTGCCCTACGCCTCATCAACCTTGCTGTTTTAGCTTTGCAGACTGCCTTCAGAGCGCACGGCCTGACCCTTCCTTCCTTTTCTCTTCTGCAGTATGTGGTAGTGCATCCAGACCAGGGAAAGGTGATGAAGGGGATGTTTCTCCCCATTTGCAAGGGCTGTGGACACAACGAACTTCTACAGGCTGTGGGACTGGTTGGAGCCATCATCATGCCCCATAACATCTACTTGCACTCCTCCCTCGTGAAGGTCAGTCGTAGGAAACTTCTAGTCTTGGATAAGGAGGTTTCTTGGCTGTCTTCAGACCTGTCTTTTCATTCATTCATGGGGGAGGCATGTGCTCAGTCTCAACAAACATGTACTCCCAAACTCACAACAATGATTACAAATGCAGAGGAAGGGAGACCTTGCAGGGAAGAATTGACAAATGAGAAGGGAAAGTGGCCAGTCCTTCGCTTGGTCACCCATTCTTCCCTTGAAGGGCCTTCTGGTGGTTCCCTCACTGCAAGAAGTGAAGTTACAGGGAACCAGGCAGAGGGCCTTCTTGCCAGTGGCACCCTCTCTGTGGAACGACCTCTAAGCAGATGTCAAGGAGATAAAGAACTATATAAGTTTTAGAAGGCATCTGAAAGCAGCTCTGTATTGGGAAGTTTTTGATGTTTGATTATGTTTTTATATGTGTTGAAAGCTACACAGAGTGGCTGGGGCGACCCAGCCAGATGGGTGGGGTATAAATAACAATGATGTTGTTGTTGCTGCTGCTGCTGCTGTTAAGGCTGTCCCCTCATCTAATTTTACTTGTAATTTGGGGCTTTTCTGGGGGGGGGAGGCTAAATATTACTATCTGTAAAGGAACATTTGCAAGGAAGAATCAGTTGGTGGAGAAAAGATTAAACCCCCCCCCCTTAACATATGTGGAACTAGGTAAGAGAGTGGGGTAGCTGACAGAAAGTGTAACTCCACAGCACAGACCAAAAGCACAGATTGAGAGGATCTGACTCAGCAAACAGCACATAGACATAGAGCATGAGGAAGTCCATTTGTTTCATAAAAGACATTGTTATAAGTGGTTGCAAACACTATTTCTAACATGGTGGCAGAAGTTTAGAAGTGGATCCTGGCTGAAGCAGTGCAGCACAAACAAATAAAACTGCAAGGACACTTGCGTCTTGGAGCAAGCAAGCCATGCCTCACTGGCCAAAGCTACTAATCTATCCCAGCCATGGAAGCACAGGAGAGAAGAGTCTGAACTGTACCGACATCTTGCATTAGAAAGAAAGGGAGGGGAGGGAAAGAATTCTGCACAGACCTGCTGATCCTCCCCTGCAAATGCCCCTCCTATTAACTATGGAAGGGCTATTGTGGAAGAGCATCTTCCCAGATAAGGTTGAGAAAAGCTCCTGCCAGAAATCCTGTAGAGCTGCTGCCAGTCAGTGTGGACAGTACTGAGCCAGAGGGATCAATGATCTGACGAAGTCAGCTGGCTATGTTTCTAAGCATGAGATTGGAATCCTGTGTTTTCCTTGGAACATGTAGTACCTTAATTAGGTTTTGGTTTGTTTGTTTTTAAATAATACTTTAGGGATGGTTTATTTCATTTCTTCTGTGTTGAAATAAATAACGGGCAATATTTTTAACCAGAACAAGCAAACAGTTGTTTCGAAAGCACCTTGCCTCCGCTGAAGGGAGGTCTTGAATGTTGCCCAATGAGAGAATTTTGAGCCAGCCCATAATAATGGAAAGGGGAAAATAAATGCCATCTGAAGGGAGGGTTCTCCTTATTTCTCTTATTAAGGTGAGCTCACAGCCTGAGGTTATATGATAGAAATTTAGGAAAAACCATCCATGCAGCCACAAGAACAGCCCCAGCCACAATGTTTCCTGGCTCCAGTACCTTTGGGAGTGGGGGGTTAAGGAGTACTCATGTGATAGAGCTATGAGACACTGTCTGCTTTCCCCACAGACCCGAGACGTTGACCGCACTGACAAGAAGGCAGTGAAGGAGGCCAACATGTACTTTCTGGTTGAGTCGACCATTGCTCTCTTCGTTTCCTTCCTCATAAACCTCTTCGTTATGTCTGTGTTTGGAGAGGCCTTCTTTCGTAAACAGAACCATGATGTGGTGAGTGACATAGTGTTGCGTTGCCCCCACGCCCTGCTCACTTGAGAGTGGTTGGGACTTAAGGTCCCATAGTTCCTCCTCTATCACTTCAGAGTTCTTATTTCACTACATTACCCATGAGTAGACGGCATGTGGTTGGAAAGGAAGAGTGATGTTTCTCTTTAGCCAGTCAGGATTGGCCAACTTCTTCCCCTTTGCTCATTCCATCAAACTTCCAAGGGTGGAGCTCACTTTCTTAGCAGTGATACTACTATGGTGATAAATTAGGGAAGCAGTGGGAAACCTCTGAGCTGCAGACTGAACAAGGCTTAGCACAGGTCCCAATTTGGCCTGAGAGGCTATTCCACAAAAACCACAGCTGCCTAGTGTCATGTGTGGGGCAGGTACAGACTGAGCTGCAAAGGAACAATTGGGAACTTAAGTAGAGTTTTTGATTGTTCCTTTGCACGTAGGAGTCCCTGTCAATGCTAGGAAGCAACTGCACTAATCAGTTTCCCATTGGAAACTTCTTAGGGCAACCAAAGGGGCTTGCTTTCTCCATTTGGAGGAAACAGATGAGGTCTGTAAAAGGGTAGGAATGCCCCATTTGGACTGCCACTCTTCTCCTAATTGAGGCAGTGGCCTTGTGGCCGAGCTAGTCTCATTCTTGAGTGCCTGTGAGTACCGCAGTGCAAAATGAATACTGTCACTAAAAATGATGTGTGCCTTTATTTTAAGGGATATACACTTTGTATTACATGCAGCATAGGCCTAGTGTTTTCCCCTTGTGGACTTTTGATTTGGAAACTCCTGCTATGAACCAGCTGGGATTATTCTTCCAGAGTTAAGAAACCTCCCGGTTTGTGTCTCTGAGTTGTCATCTGCTCTGGGGCAGTGCATTCATTCAAGAAAGAGGGGAATAGCTTTGAATAAAGAGGGACAGGACCCAAGTGTTTAGCTGTTTAAGGCATATTTGGCTGCATACACACCATATATTTAAAGCACATTCCTCCCAAAGAATCCTGGGAACTGTCATTTACCCTGCAGAGTTAAAATTCACAGTACACGTAACAAACTACACTTCCCATTATTGGTCTTTCAGGGGAGAGATGTGCTTTAAACTTATGGTGTACATGCAGCCATTCCTGGTGGCTGTGCTCTGAGGCATTCTTCCTTGTAGACTTGTCTCTATGGGCCATCAGCGCGTGGAAATATTTTGCCCTGACCTTCTAGTGCAAAGGATGTGACCTTTCTGAGGCCCCAATGGGTGTCCTTTAAAAAATTATCTTCATTTTATTCCGCCCATGGATTCCAGCATGAAATCTGTGCCAATGCCAGCATTTTCGCCAATGGCAGCCTCTTCCCAAACTTTCCTGACAACAATGAAACTGTCTCCGTGGACATCTTCCAGGGGGTAAGTTTTTGGCGGAATGATGTCATTTCCCCAGCTTGAAAGAAGTTAAAAAAAGATAATCTTGCACATAAATATAGGAAAAAGATGGTGTCTAGCTTTTAAGAGTATCGGTGCTTCGCTTAGGGTAGCCACTTACCGCCATCCCAAAACAAAAAGGCAAACCAATGATTTGCATGTGCTATGTAATATATGGAGTTCCCAATGCAAAAATAATTACTATAATTTAGATGGAAATATGACGCATATCACTGCAGTGGTGAAGACTGGCCGGGTAACCTGTGCCCAGTCTGCTGTCCGGCTGCTCAGTGTGGATGGGCTGCTTCTAGGCCCCCTTTGCTGCTCTCCCATCTCAGGGTTCTTTACTGCACTTTAGACTGGACTTGGACTGGGCAGCCCTTCAGACAGAGAACACCTTCCCAAAACAAAATGAACGGTCTTCCGAATAAAGAACTGTACTCTGTAATGTAGGTCACCTGGTCACCCTGGCTTAACTACCTGCGTCCCAATTTATCTGTGTCTTTTCCTGCCCAGGGACTCATCCTAGGATGCTACTTCGGCTCCATTGCTCTCTACATTTGGGCCATTGGGATCCTTGCCGCAGGCCAAAGTTCAACCATGACGGGGACATACGCCGGGCAGTTTGTGATGGAGGTGAGAAACTATGTGGGGCTGTCTTCTGTGGGGCTGGTTAATCCTGATTTTGATAGAACCTTGCAGGCAAGTTCAAAGGTGTGGCTCTGCTACGTGCTGCTCAAATGGAAAAAAGCGGTTGTCGATATTATTGTGGCGTGTGCTGAAAAAGGGAAAACAGTAGTTATTGTTAGTATTATTCGTGTTGTTATTAGGATAAGGATGTGATGCAATCCTGCAGCCAACATTTGGCTCACTTGGATGCAGGGCTCCAGGAAGCAGTGTGAGTGCTGCTTCCCTGGTTTGGGGGGTGGGGTGGGGTGGCTTAAAGTCTCAGCTGATTGGCAGCACTGAAAAGCACCTGAAGTCCTGATGGTCATCACCTGATGTCATAGCGGCACCAGTTGATTGACAGGTGGGCAACCTTGCTCAACGGTCAAATTTGGCATGTGGGGGCTGGGGTGAGGATCTTGCTTGCTGGGCTTAGAGCAACATGAGTCTTAGGCTGCAGTGCCACTGCTTAGTCCAAGAAGGTAACAAGCAATGATAAAGACAAGACTTCTCTGTGAACGTACAGAGTAACTTTTCCTCACCACGACTGACCACATCCTGTCAGTACAGTTTGCCTGCATCTGCCTTGTCAGGGGAGCCATTTTTGTGCAGGATCAAGACCCTCTGCTTGAGCAGCAAAGTTTTGAGCCGTAACTGATCCGTTTTTGCTGTCCCACTATTCACGAAAGGCCAGAAACGTTATGTTTCCAAAAGGCTTTCTGTATGATGGTTAAGAAAATGTGCCTCTTTTGCAAGGCAGGGCAGGACCTTATTGCAAAACTGCAGTCTCTAAGTCAAGCCACAGCAGGCTGAAGGCATAGCTGCATTTTTATTGTGAAACAACCCACACTCATGTGGTAAATAGATTGTGGGTCATGCACTCTACAGTTGTAGTGCTGACATCTAGCGGGAAGCTGCTCCACCTGCAAGTCTACCCATAGGAAGAGGCCTCCTGGATCCGATGGCTGAGGCGGTTTTGAGGCAGGTGGGTCCTAGAGCTAGCCAGTTACAGTTTCACATTCTAAACCACAAGCAGAAGTGCAGGAGTATTTCATTTTTTTCTTTGTGTACACACCGGTGGGTGTGACATACTTCCTCTCAGGGGGTCAGAACTTGAATCTGAAGCTCAGCACACATTCACAATGATCCAGCATAGGCGCCGACTCCATGGGGCTTGAGGGGGCCCGAGCCCCCTCAAAAATTCGTTTGGGGGGGCTCCGCCCCCCCAATAATCTCCGGCGCCCCTCCAGCAGAGCGCCATCGCCGCCCCTCCCCCAGCCCAAAATGCACAGGGAGGGGCGGGCTGCATGCCTCCTGCCCTCCCTCCCGAGCAAAAGCTCCACCCAATTTCCTTTGGAGCTGATTAATAGGCGCAGCACGCTCTCCCCTATTCGCTCACGAGGAGGCGGCGCCACTTTATTTGCATATTCATGAGCTTATTTATTATTCATGAGCTTTCCCGGGCCCCCCCAATATTTTTTATAAGTCCGCGTCCCTGTGATCCAGTGAATGCCATTGGATGATTCTCCCTAATTTTTAATACTAGTCTTCTAATTTTTGCCAAGATGCCATCATTTTTAAATGAAAAAAAGTTACAGTGATACACAACCATAAAACAATTTATTTAAACAGAATGTTCCTTAAAAAAATAATCAGCAGCATTGCAGCATGATGGTTAATGGCAGCAAGCAAAAAGTGTTGTTTTTCAAAATCATTTTAAAAAGAGGACATTGTAGCAGAAGGGTGTTAAAGTGCTACACATAAATTTCATTATATAATGGAAAAACATTTCATTCATAATTAAAATATATTTTATATATATACATAGGCGCCGACTCCATGGGGCTTGAGGGGGCCCGAGCCCCCTCAAAAATTCGTTTGGGGGGGCTCTGCCCCCCCAATAATCTCCGGCGCCCCTCCAGCAGAGCGCCATCGCCGCCCCTCCCCCAGCCCAAAATGCACAGGGAGGGGCGGGCTGCATGCCTCCTGCCCTCCCTCCCGAGCAACAGCTCCACCCAATTTCCTTTGGAGCTGATTAATAGGCGCAGCACGCTCTCCCCTATTCGCTCACGAGGAGGAGGCGCCACTTTATTTGCATATTCATGAGCTTATTTATTATTCATGAGCTTTCCCGGCCCCCCCCCCAATATTTTTTATAAGTCCGCGTCCCTGTATATATAAAAAGGCAGGGTAGTAGAATAGTATGCACAGTGTCTGCTGAACTGTGGTAAGTTCACTTTCCTGATAGATCATGGCCTATTTTAAAATCCTGTCCTTTAAAAAATAATAATAATATGCAAGAGTTATGTTAAAGGCACTTGTAGACACTGTGCTACTCTCTCTTTTTTAAGTGCCTTTCTGTGATCTGAGAAAAGATGGGAAAACTACAGGGAAAATGCATGATAATGATTGGATCACAGTGTTGTGTGGATGAGTGGACAAAGCATGGCATTTCCACACTAAATGCCTGGACTGGAAGCACCCCTAAGGTCCAACTACTCCAGACTTCTGCATCTGCAATACCCAACCAGATGCCTCCAGGAAGCTCACTGCACAAGCAAGGCACAAAGCCAACGGTCTCTTTGTTCCCCAGGAAGTGGTATTTAGAGGCATGCTGCTTCTTTTACATGGAGGTTTGCCCATCACATCCACCATCATCTTCATCTATCATGTGGTAGTTAATTTCTCCTACTTAACTGCTCTGGTCCAGCACAAATGTGTGGTTGCACTATGGGCACCAGACAGAAGTGAGGAAATGCATTTCTTTCCCTCAAGCTTAGAAGTTCAGAAACATAGCAGTGGGGGCCACCTGCTTAAAAAATATTAGCCCATGCTTTCAGAGTGTGGATGATTCAGTATACTAGTAATGTCAAGTTTTACAGTTACTGTTCAGGGGGTACGTTTGTTCAAAGGGAGGTCATCTTCCCCAGTAGAGAGGCATGTAGAGACTGGAGCCGTTTCCCCCTTGTTATTTCCTCATCTCTTCACCTTTTTCTGGTGACTTAAATTGGCCACCAGGTGGCAGCCTTTTTCAAGACCAGTGTGTCAAGCAGAGGGGAGAGGATCTTGGATGAATAGCATGTGCTTCAACGGGTGATGGTGTGTTGACTTCTGTAAACCCAGGAGCTGCTTATTCCCCTCCCCTCTCAGGGCTTCTTGAAGCTTCGCTGGTCTCGCTTTGCCCGGGTGGTCTTCACTCGTGCCTTCGCTATCCTTCCCACGGTCTTCGTTGCTGCTTTCAGGAGGATAGAAGATTTGACGAGCCTGAATGACGTTCTCAATGTGCTGCAGAGCATCCTGGTGAGATGTCCGAAACACACACACACTGCAGCCCTCTGTAAGCAGTGGGTTGCAGGAGACATGACCGGCTGAGGAGCCCCATGTCAATTGCCCATACCTCTCTTCCTTACTAGGACCGAAACTGCCATTAGGCAGTGAGGCAGGGGCCTCAGGAATCTGCCCTGTGAAACCCCCTCCACCTCTGTTCTTCTAGAAATCTATTATTTCATACTGGCCTGTTGAGTAGCTCCTGTGCATGTAGAAGTGTCACAGGGAAAGGCAAGATACCTTCAGGTTCCAAGGGCTGGGCTAGTCTTTACAGCATGGTATGGTGGTTGGAATGTTGGACCAGGACCTGGGAGGCCAGAGTGCGAATCCCCACTCAGCCATGAAACTCATTGGGTGATTTGGGGGCCTGTCACTGCCTCTCAGCCTAGCCTACCTCACAAGGTCGTTGTGGGGATTAAATGAGGAGGGGGAGAACCATGTACGCTACCTTGGAGAAGAAGCTGGGATATTAATGGAATAAAATGAATAAACTATAGGACCAGCATGGGTTGGAAAGGAGTACAAATGACATTTTTGTGGTCCTCGAGTGAAAATAAGTGGTGACAAAGTAAGTGGCAAAGAAAGGAGAACGGACAACAGTATTCATTTTGAAAATATGCCTCCACACTCACCCCTGTTTCTCCTTCCATTTCCAGCTGCCTTTTGCTGTCATACCTGTTCTCACCTTCACCAGCATGCAGCCTCTCATGCAGGACTTCGTCAATGGGATGTAAGTTGCTCCACAGAGAAGCTTGTTTTGTGAGGAGTTATTTCCCTAAGGAAGGATGTGTGTATGCAGGGCATTTCCACTTCCATTGCCAATGTTTGATTTGGAACGTTCTTGGTACATGCAATGCACTCCACAATATCCATGCCTTGATTTTGCTGCATCTGCCACCCAGGGCACTTCCAGACTAATGTTGGTTGGGATTCAGTGTCATACTGGCAAACACAGGTCAGACAGTTAGAATTGCCCAGAAGGTCTTGCACAACAAACCTGCTTCCCCCAAAAGATAGTTTTTGCAGTAAGGAAAGTGAGGAGCAAACATACCGGAAAGTGGCATCAGGACCCTCCCAGGTGTCCTTTTCATTGTGCATAGATGATGATTTGTGCTCATGATGCTATCGGGGTGGTCACACAATCCGGCTTTCATTCTTATTTGTGCCTGCAAATGTTTTGGCACAGTCATACTGCTGCTGCTTCACTCAGGGCCTACTCTGTAACTTTCCGATGAACTCCCGTAACTTTTCATATGAGAAATGTGGTTTGTACATACATACATACATACATACATACATACATACATACATACATACATATTTACATACTATAAAAACCTACACAAGCAGAGGGAGGACTGCAACGCTACTCATATTCGTTTAGTTTGTTAAACAGGACCATCTGCCCCCAGACAACAATTGGGGCAGATGTGGATGTAAAAATCTGTAAATTGACTACCAGGATTGTTCCATCTTTATAGTCATGATCTTGAATGTTCTTCTTCTTTTTTAACTCCCTCTCCCTCTCTGGTCTTCTTAGCATTAGCAAGATCATTATGATCCTCATCACTGGACTGATCTGTGCAATCAACCTGTACTTTGTGGTGACAGCTATAATGGGCCTGAATCATCTGGCATACTACATCGCCATATCATTGGCGCTAGCTGCATACGTGGCCTTCGTCTGCTACCTGGTATGAAGATCATAGATAAAACGGGGAACCATCTGTAGGGCTGGGCTGGAGGCCCCTCCCAAATTACGGTTGATGATACAAGGACTAGTAGATCATTGATCTGATAAGGTTGCACCTCATTCTTAGTTTTAAAGGGGAATAAACTGAAAACAATTGAAGAAAAATCCCCAAAGAGGATATTCATCATTTCCCATATACTAGCCCTAGGATTATATCGCAAGCTTGTTATGAGGAACACCTGCAGAACTAGGTCTGGGCTAGATCCTTATCTCCCCCACCCCACGGATGGGGTGGGTGGGGCTGCCTGTCAATTGACATCATAGTGACACTGTGTGACCCATTTTTGCCTGCCCATGGTGCTTTGCAAGCCCTGACGATCCACTGAATATCATAGAAAATGCTGTTTCCATTTTCCCTGACAATAACCATCAACGGTGGAGCCACAGGAGGGTTGGGAAGGTATTTATAAAGCATAGCGCTGCCATAGCATCCTGATGGAGGTGCACAGACCATTAGCCCCTGGATAGTGAAGGGGCAGCCCCTGAAGTGAGTGTCTCCCAAAGGACAGTGAGGAACCACTGCTGGATCACTTAACAGAGTCATGAAAAAACATGGGGGGTCTGGTTGAGGCAGATCGGGGAGAATGATCGGGCTGTTATTGCAGGTAGGAGGAAAACCTGAAGGCTCTTTGGTATGGTTGTGAAGACCCCAAGTTTGATGCTAGATCCTCGTCTTGCTCTTTCTCTGTTCTAGATTTGGACATGTCTCATCTCGCATGGAGCTCGTTTCCTGGCCCGTGGGCCCCACACTCGATTCGGTTATGGGCTGCAGTGATAGGCCATCCCTCTCTCACACATGCCAGAGGCTGCTAAATCATCCTCCTCCTCCTTCATGGACTGGAAGCAGCTGCCCCTCTGGATCAGCTGAAAGGCAGAGGCTCCAGGACACTGGTGTCCACCGACAAGAGATGGACTTAAGCACTGGTAGCTGGCAATCCACGGTGGAGCACCTGCTTTGCATGCAGAAGGTTCCAGGGTTCATCTCCAGTATCCTGCAATGAATCTTCAGACTCTGTGAAAGAGCTGTGGTCAGCGCCCCCATACAGGTGGGCCTGGACTTGACAGGCCAATGCCCAGATTCAGCACAAGATGGCTGTTTGTATTTTAGCTGGAATAAACTCTCTTGGGAAGACAGTCCAACGAATAAACTCTTTTGTTGGCTCCCTACGCTACCCCCTACTCCAAGCTACATATAGTGATGGGAGCAGGGAGGTGCTGTGGCACTGACCTCCAACAAGGGCATCACTGCTGCTTACTGAGACAGTAAGCACCAGCTGCAAGGTGGTAGTGGCATCGGGCTCGGTTGGTGTGCACACCCTGCCCCAACCTCACTGCCCCACTCCTGCATTGCCATAAGAACATGAGAAGAGCCCAGCAGGATCCGGCCAGTGGCCCATCTGGTCCAGCATCCTGCTCTCTCTGTGGCCAGTCAGATACCCAGGGAAAGCCCACACCTGAGCGCAACAGCATTCTTCCCCCTGCAGTTTCCGGCAACGTCCATTCAGTAGTGTTCCTCCTCTGAAAGTGTCCCAGCAAGGACACTGCCAGGAAGTTGGGCACTGCCCCTACTTGCCGGCTGCTCCTGCACAGTGGCCTATTCAACTTTCTTTGAAGGAGCAGCTGATGCAGCTGCAACCCTCCTTGCAGAGTTTTTTGAGGCCTCTTGCCCTTCGTGGGCTGCCGCGTTAAGTCTGCCATAGCAAGCAAAAGCAGTCTTTGTGGCACCTCTAACAAATGGTGTTTGTTAAAGGCGCCACAAGACTCTGCATTATTTTTGCATCATGCAATGGCAGCAGGACACAGGTAGGTTGCCCGTAGTGTTACAGAAGAGAGGAAATGGGGAATTAGAGACAAAAAGTTGTCATTTTGGGCAAAAGCTGAACCTTTCATGGCCTGAAAAGCAGAATTACTAGGTTGAAAGGCTGGTGGAGCTCGTATGCCTTTAATAATTGCACGGAAGAGGAAAATCTGGCAAAGTACAAGTTGTCATCGTCCTAGGATACGAAAAACGACACTTGTTGAAATTATCTGTACGGCTGTTAAAGGTCCCTTTGCACATTTGTGAGAGAGCAGAATGCCAGCACCTAAAGTTGTCACCATTTAGGATTGCCTGCTTTTATACTTGACTCTGCTCTTGTGCCTCTAACAGCAGCTTTATGTGCCGATATTAGTAGGTGGTAGATTTTATCTCCTACTGCAAATAACTTTCACCTACTGATTTTGACTGATTTGGGGGAGGGGTCTAGGCGGATAGCTGTCCCTTTGATACCTGCTGAAGACAACTGCTGTTCACCAGAAGGTTAGTCTATAGCAGTCTTCCCCAAAGGCTGTGGTGGCTGGCAGCTGAGGGGAGTTGTGGTCCAAAACATCTGGAGGGCACCAGGTTGGGGAAGGCTGATTTAAAGAGCCTAAGCATATTCATGTTTCCCTGCACTTCTGGTTTTATCTCTGGGCTGGTGAACTGATTACACCTTGTCTTCAGTTCTGTTAACTGCCTCACTCTTTAACTGATGGGTGAAGTAATGGAAATAAATATGACCATTTCAGTGTAAGAAGGATTTTATAGCTACTTAGGGCGGGGGGGTGAGTTTCTTCTTAAAGTAAAGAAGATAAATACGGTAAATAGTTGGCTGTTTGGAGGAAAAGACAATAAAATGCTTTGCTCATACCAAAAGAGATTGGATTGTGTATTCTGTGCTAATGGGTCTGCTGAAAACAATTGCATAAATGAAACATTCAGAGGGAGCACCCTTTAATTAAAGTCAAATTAAAGATTGGTTATAATTTCTACGGAAAGTTCCAGTATACTAAGTGCCTTGTATTTACTTCCCTTCATCTTTACAACAAGTTAAGTAAGTACAGTGGTACCTTGGTTCTCAAATTTAATCTGTTCCGGAAGTCCGGTCCAAAACCAAAGCGTTCCAAAACCAAGGTGTGCTTTCCCATAGAAAATAATGCAAAATGGATTAATCTGTTCTAGACTTTTAAAAACAACCCCTAAAACAGCAATTTAACATGAATTTTACTATCTAACGACACCACTGATCCATAAAATAAAAGCAATAAACAATGTACTGCAGTCACACAATCAATCAATCAGTAGCTGAACTGGGTTCCACACAGTCACAAAAACAAAGCGAAAAAGCCGCAAAACAACAACAACAACACAGAATAAATAGCAAAAACAGACAGACCTCAGCGTATCACTCAAAACAGAAGTGTGGCATTCAAAACGGAAGAGTGGCACTCAAATCAGAAGCGTAACACTCAAAACGGAGCAGGTTTGGCTTCTGAAAAAAGTTCACAAACCAGAACACTTACTTCCAAGTTTGCAGTGTTTGGGTTCCAAGTTGTTTCAGTACCAAGGCGTTTGAGAACCAAGGTACCACTGTACAGGCAGCCTACCTTAAGGAAATCAAAACGTAATTAACTGAGTAGAGAGTTGAACCTGATAAGGCTTGTCATGCCCAAATTCAGCATCCTGCTTACAAGGCTTGCATTGTCAATCAACAATAATGTGACCGTCACTTTACAGAGCAGTCCTAATCCCCATAGCCACTGCCTGCAGGAAGTTAGGGTAGGGCAGAAGTGGCCCCTCAGCTGGAGGAAACAGGCTCCACCAGTAATACGCCCATAAACAGCTTTGCAGGAATGAATTTACCACCTATGCTTCTTTTCACCAGCTGTAGGGTCTGAAATGGGCTGGGTGGGACGGAGTTGGCTTAGGATCCACTGTCTCCAAAGCTCCCCAGCTAGGCCCCAGGATTGGGCCCATCAACTGTACCTGAAAGTTAGCAGTGTAAATTATCCCCCACACTGGAAACAAGTTGGGAATGAGAACGCCCCCCCATACACACACACTTCATGCCCATGCCAATGTGAGCCACCTCTGAAGTGTCAAGCTGTCCATCACTTCGTTCGCTCCCAAATTTGGATTGCTCTACCCACCAATACCTATACGTTGCATTTCAAGGGAATCGCCAACTAGCATCTTTGGAGGGAAAGTGAAGCTCTGCTCCCAGAGGTGCTCAGCCTACTCCTATTTACAGTAGGGGGGGAAATGTGCCTGCTAATTGCTTTCACAGGATTCCCTTCCTGTCTCTTAGCCCTGAGACCACATACACACCCCCTCTCTGGACACTTTCCTAGCCTTTTCTGGCAAGAACAATGCTCATTCTTAAGTGTCCTCCAGGCAAGCAACTTGTGAATCCCTCTTGGCCCTCACCATAGCTACTCCAGCCCAGGTCTAAGTGAATTAGCCGCCTCCAGAGATGATCCCATCCCAATTAGTTTGTGTCTCAGAGTGTCTCTAAGGGCTAAGCTTTCCACTCTGAGTACTAAACCTGCTGTCTACCCTCCTTAGCTGAACGGGCACCAAATTACAGTTGCTACTCCTCACTCCCAGTGGTAAATGTAGCTGTGTAAAGAAACACAGTTAAGGGATATATCCCAATCCTCTCTAAACCAAAAGGAAACCCAAAAGTCAATCCCAGGACAGAGAGAGAGTCAAAGACTGAACACCTATAGCAGTCGAAAGAGCATGGAAAGGCTGTGTGCAGTTGTGTCAACCAGTTTTCCTAATACTATGACTACCACTACTACTAATAGCAGCAGCAGCACTTATAGAGTTGTTGGTATCTGTCTGTCTGGGGAGACAATGGAGTGTGCCAAAGTGACCTCTCTAGGGCGCAAGCCTGGGCAGTGTGTCTGGAGGTCCTGGGCTGTCCAGATGACAAGACCCTGCTCTCGGTCTCACTGATGTGGTCCAAAGTAGAGCAGAGCAATATGTTTGGCACCAGCATTTCAAATATTTGAAATCATTTTTGTACATTGTCTCAGCAAAGCCTTACAGCAGCCTTGTAAAGTCTAGTATCACCAGCCCCACATTGCAGATGGTCATCAGGGAAATTAAGCTGAAGCTGGGAAAGTGACATAACTACCTGCCAGGAAATATCTTTTTAAAGGATAAGTTTGGCCATTATTATTATTATTATTATTATTATTATTATTATTATTATTATTACTTGGGGTGGGAGTGGTTTCACATGGAAAATCATTTAAATATATGACACACTTATAGCCTAAAATGATGCTAAAGTTCAGGAAAAGCTTTACCACTTGGTTCTATTGAATGTATAAAATGATTTTTCCAGGTGTAGGAAAAATGTGCAAATTGTTTCATGTGTTTGCACCGTTTCAAAAGTATTCAGACCCAACACAGTACAATTACGACAACTTAAACAGAACAGAGACAGGTGTCAATATAGGTACTGTATTGTAAGAACTAAGAAGCAGCAAACGCTGGATAAGGCAAGCAAAAAAAGTCTAGAATTTGCTAAGAGCTCATGAGCAATCTACTCGTTTTCATTAGTAGTAGTGAAATAAGGGGGTGGATAAAATCGGCTGATTGTGAGAAGCAGAGAGGCATTGTTAGCATTGGGAAGAATCAGGAAGTTGTGCAGGACAACCCAGCTGACCTCACAAACAACGGGAGTGATAGAAACAAAATGGAATCTAATCGCACAAAGTATCACTTGCAGGCTGCGTCCTGAGGTCCTGTAAACTACAGTTTTGCTGTCTGCTGGAGCTCCAAAGAGGGAAAAATAGCCAGCAATTGTCTTCAATCAAAAGGTGTCTTCATGAATAGTACTGGGTAGCAGACTGTGGCCGGAGTACAGTAGAACAGTGTTCAGCAGCTGCAGTTAAATGTGACAGAGAATTCTTAAAACTGTGTTTTATTATACTGTGTTAAATCAATGCCCTTCAATAACTAAAACATAAAAGAGGGTGTGTTGTATCCAGACTAAGTTAATTACACTTAACGCTTGTACACATTTGAGCATTAATCCACTCCCCCTCCATATTCCAATTAGACCTAAGTAGTCCACAGCTGTGCATATTTGAATTCGTATATGAAGAGCAACTTGATATTTCCTATTCATACCAGTAGGCGTTCCCTTTGGTGTTTGTCTCTGCCTCCTAATTTGTTTATTCCATTATGCCAATCAAGAACTAGCACGGGATACATGCAGGTAGCTGCATGCATATGTTATTTTTGTTTAAATCTCATACAATAAGTGTGCAAAAGCACACAGTCAGGCAATTGTAAACTAGCTTGTGCGGTTTTCTGATTT